CATTGATGAATTTTCTGACGCACTTGGGGTTTGATACACATGCACGTCGTATTCGGTGGGATTGGGAGTAAGCACTGGGTTGAAGGTGTTGGTGGTGGCGATGAAGTCTATTGAACGTTTCATTGAGCAAAGGTGTCACATAGACTCGGAGAGTGTTGAGCCTACGAATGCTAGGGAATTGTGCTTGGAGTGCCGTCACAAACTCGCGCCACTGGTATACGTAGCTAGGGAAAATGAGCTCCAATTCACCAGTTTCCTTCATATAGAAAGAAGGGCTGCTTACGACGAGGCTGCGAAGAAGTCCTTCATAACCCCAATTCATGAGAGAAGGAATACTTTTGGTGGTGAGGAACTCATACCTCATTTCCAACTTCGACATATTTAAGATCGAATGGTTGGGTTCGGCCGAGGGAAGCCCGTAGTGCAGCTGTGAAGGAGATACACGTTAGCAGTATCTTCTTCGATGAATTTATTTCTGTTTATGTAAGAACCTACCTGCTGCGCTCCTGGCTGGGTCTCCGATGACGAAATTAATCTGGTCCGCCGCTTGTTGGATGTACGGCCCAAGTTGGTTTTGTGGGACGCTCGTTCCTCCGAGAGCGTATCCTATCCATTTGGAATTGAGCGTCGATCCGTAACAAGAAGGAGAGCAACGGACCGGCCCAAATGCCCATGATCGGGATCATGTTCAGGTCCTTACACCATTCAAGGTATTCCATAAGCCCGATGCCACTGTAATTTCTTCATTTGATTTGTTTAAACGGATAACATGGTATCTGACGCACTCTGTGTTAATGTAGCTCCAATCTCCCATACGGCCGGGTCTGCTAAGGGCCCGACCTATTAGTTTTAGGTGAGATAGTTACAATAGTTAGAAGATAGGACTTACCGTCGCATTCCATTGCCACCTCGTGGCCACCGTCTGGCCTTCCAGATTATTCCCGCCCGGGAAGCGGAAGAAGGATGGTGCCATCTCTTGTAGTGCCTGCCAAAAAGATGGAGTACAGTTTAGCTACAATGAAGGGCCAAAGTATCTCCCACCTCAGCGAGGTCTACTCTCATCCCATTCGGTCTGCCTTTGAACGTTGGCGGGAACAGCGACAGCATCGCCAGGCTCAGCGTCTGCCCCGCTGCACTCGCACCATTCAGACTGATGACGAACAAGTTGTTCGTCGAACTCGCGCTCTGCGTTGGCCGGAGCTGCACCGAGACGCGGCGCCAAGCCGTTTGCGAGCCGGCCAATGGCACGTTCGCCGAGGCGAACACTTGGCCCGAAGTAGACTGCAAGCTGACGGTTGCGCTGCCCGAGAAGGAGGACGCGGTTGGGAAGCGGTAGGAAAATGAAGCAGTGTAAGTCGCTCCACCGGTAACTTTGATTCCTGCGCATGCCGAGTCGAAGGTGGTGAGAGGATGCCAAGACGGGCGCTTAATGTGACACTTACCGAAGTAGCCGGTGTTAGCGACACCAACGGCTCCGGTCCTCCCACTCGGGATCGTAAGGCGGAGAGCATTCGGAAGAGCAGCAGATACGGGCGTGCCCTCCGCGACGACAGAGATAGTGGCGCCGTTCACCGCTTGCCAACCGACCAGGGCGGCGGAGGTGCCTAAAGAGACGCGTATTTAGGCGCTCAAGCCAAGAAGGAAGAAATGTGATCGAAGAACGTACCCGGAGTGACTTTTTGGAAGGCCCGGTTGCGAAGGACTTGTTAATTTCGATATGAGAAGTGATGATACGTAGAACAATAGAAGGTCGGTAGTACTCACGTTCGGCGTAAAGACCTCCGTCTCCGCTCTGTGAACGTGATCAAATGAGCGCTGGCCTAAGACCGAGGGCTCCACTGCTACTTACAAACTATAAGCAAAGAAGGAAAGGAGTCAACTATGCCATATCTGTAGGATAACGCTGCATGGATGGTGCACTGACACTTATGTCCTCGTACATTTGCCCCCCTGCCAACGCCGACATCGACTTCAGTCGGACGTCCTACGAAGACGAAGTCGCGCTTGAGGCTACTCACATAAAGTAGTTGGAATCGGGTGGCTCGCGGTCGCGCTGACCGTCACCGTCACTGCCGTGCAGGCGCTGACTATCGCGAGAAGAGCAAGGGTGATGCGTGTAACTTTGAGATTCCACATCGTTTTGACGTTCAGGATCAGCGAGTGTCTTCAGACAGCATTCGCCCTGGCCCCAAGTATTTATACCGTAGAACAGACCCACTGGCCTGAGCTGTCCAGGCGGTCCGAGAAAGGGAGAAGTCGTATAGCTGGCTTCTTAGACGTGCGTTTGTGCATTCCACCAGCATTGATCCTAGTCGGGCTGTCTGATTATTCCGCACATCATGGCCGTCCTGGCCACGGGTCTTTCATGAGAATTCAGTGAAGATCGTTCTAGGGAAGATGGGCGGCGTTGTAGAGCATATGACGAGGGTCGTTCAGAAACCTCACATGTTAGGAAGGCAGTCAGATTTATTCCTGGAGATTCACAGTTGCAGCGAGAACGGAGGAGACATTCTCATTCGCATCCGGGTGGTGCCGAACACTCGATATTCATGGAATAATGGCTGGCTTCGCTGAAGAGTATGGATATCTGGATTGCACCCATAGCTGAACATGTGGACGCAATGAAGAGAACTCGGAAAGTCTATTTATACCTCGCTTTCTTACCTTGCGTCCGCTCCGTCACGCGTCTTCTTGCAACCATGGCGGGCCGGAGGACTGGAAAACTTTGAGGGCTGAGCATCCAAGCGAGTCGCGTTCTCCTCCGACCAAAGCCCGTGTCGAAAGTCGATCTACGACTTCAAGAGGGAGACTGATCGAGAGCTGTTGTATTATTTCTCCCAAAGGACCATGGATTATTATTTGTCCACAGCAACGATGAATCCCGTACCAATTGCTCGCCATTCCCAACAAAAGCTGCGGAGAACGAAAACTGAAAGGGCGTGGTCGCATGACAATGTCTAGGAGGCTTCACTGTCGCAGACTGAATAGCACGGGGGGGGGGAAGGTCAAGAAGATCTTAATAAAGATTTTGGGAAAGCAAGGGATAGCAGATGCTCTGCAGGAACAGGGTCGCCTCAATCTGGTCCGTAGTCTTCGGAGTATGTATCTTTCACGGCCGTGAGCGAAGTCGGTAATCGATATCCTCGCCTCTAAGTGTGCAATAGGGCATTGTGCAACATGCACCGGTTTAGATGCCTTGGGTGTGAATAATTCCTGGTGTCTTGTCGAGCTTGGGGACGGGTTTCCGACATGCAAGAGAAAGTGGCGACGTAGGTCTGAACCTTAGAACATGGAGAACTTCGCAGGTGGTCCCGGCCCGCGTGCACCTTCCAAAGGAATTCATGCAACATGATATTGGGCTGCACGAGACATGAAGTCGAAGAGGGGAGGGGGTCCTTGCATACGTTCTGCGGTGAGTGCTGCATTCATCAGGTCTTGAGTTAGCGATTCGAGAATTTCGAGTGATACTTATTACATATCTTGACATATGTGGATTTCTCCAACCCCGTGAGGACAAGACACCGTCTCCTCGCCGTTCAGCACTGAATAAACGTCTTCACAGAGTCTTCAGGCTATATTTAGCGTAGAGGACCTTGCATCGATGTGAGATTGAATTGCGGCGAGCGGTGGAGCCTAATCTGAAGTCAGGGGCGGGATCGTCAGCGGCGTAAAACCTTTGTGATACACAATTGACACCTCCAACATTAATTCAAGGCAATGACTTGTCTCAGGCTCCAATCCCCATAAAAATGCTCCTCTGTGACCCGTTCACGAAGAAGATCCTATTCCTTGTCGCTGCTGCCTTCTTCGTCTACATCACCCTCACCAACATATCGCGGGGATTTCAACAAGGGTTCAGGGCATCTGAAACAACATTAGGGTCTGAAAGGTCGTCCAATGTGTACCAGAATGTACCTGCCCATCTAGCAGGCGTTTTTCCGCCTCCAGATCCCTCAAGGAAGAACTACCACGAGTGGAACGCGCAGACACTAAGGGAGCTGCATTTCTGCATGGCCCTAAGCAATTGTGGGTCGAACCAAAAGAAGGTCGCGTTACTGGCTGCACATTGGTTCGAGGAAGCGATTGTGCGAGGATGGAGAGGAGGAGAGGGCGTTTGGTGAGTGGCAGGAGATGGAAAGGTTGAGCACAGAGCTTACGACATGACAGGGCGGTATCAGTTGTAAGTCCTATTTTTGGCCTCGCCTCGCAACTTGACCTCTTTCCAGCACAAACACTTGCGCGCACTGGGATATACCACTCTCTTTGCCAACAGTTTCGGTATGTAAGGCTAGCTCTTTACCACTTGCGCGCCGCTAAATGACTTGTAGATGAAGCTCTTCAGCAGTATCGCATGTTTCCAGACCTTGTCAAGGTACCTAGTGCTATTTTCCCCCCATGTTCTTACCTCAAATTCTCTCAAGGTCGTCATCCGAAACAAAGCGGGCGAATGCCATTCTGACCCTAAATGTGTGAAAGGACCGGACAACCCCTCAGGCATCCCAGCATGGAAGATCTTTGACTTTGAATACTTTGTGTCGTACGGCGTCCATTACCATGCCTCCCTCATGAAGGGCAAGTGGATCCTCTCAGCCAACCCAGACAACAAGGACCCAAGTCCTATTCAATACATTGGGTATGTGAACACTTCTTGCCCTCAGACTCCGATATAGCAGTTCATTCTGCCTAGATACTCCCTCGAAGACGAGTGCCGTCAAACCCATCCCATCCGTCTCGCACAACGTACCCACCGCGCTTGGCTCCTCATGAAGCAGCTCACATACGCATACGACTCGTCCTTCGCATGGAACCGGTCCTACTTCTCCCTCGCGCACCACTCGCCCGAGCTGCGCGGACTGACGTTCACCGGAGGGTGGATCGTCAACCAGCACTACCAGTGGAAGCCCGAGGTGCAGGGCACTATGGAGGACATCGAAGATCGCGCAAACGGAGTCTTGAATGTTGGCAAGCTGGACCCGCGTCAGTTCATCGAAGCTGTGAGCATGAGCAAGGTTATGGTCGGTATGGGTAATCCGTGGTGGAGCCCATCTCCGTACGGTGCCTTATGCTTGGGCGTACCGTTTGTTAATCCGGTGCGTGCAGTTCTGAGCTGCTACATATTTTCCTCGCTTATTTGCGAGTAGATACGAAACTGGGATCGACAAGACCCTTGGAATAAGGCGAAATGGCATACCCAGCACCCTTCGCTTAACCGTTATGATCCCCCGTAAGTGTACTACCACCCATCCGAAACTATCTCCGCTGAGAATACGTTGCAGATACGTATATCATGTGCACGCGGGCGACTACGACGGCTTCGTTAAGGCCATAAAGGCCGCCTCAACCACAGAGATTCCTAGGTTAGCTTAGTGTATGCGTTAATTCCTTTCGCTGACGGCCGTACAGCTTCATCCCGCCCCATATGACTGAACTCGCTGTCCGCGAACGTGTCCGAAATCTCATGGAAACGGACTGGAAGACTGAAGCTGCTGAGCTTCTCAAGGAAAGGTTGGAGGAGGTGAAGGCAGGAGGGAAAGCTTATGTGGGTAATGCAGATCTGGCCCTTTCCTGCCTCGAAGCTAACTCTTCTCTCCAGGTGTTCGAGCTATAAATTTGATCTACTGGCTGATTGTGGACAGACTCGACATACTTACATTTCTTTGGCTTCAACATTGCTTCATTTGTGTACTATCTATGCTTGATTTATATAGGTTACCTATAGATGGAGTGCTTTTTTTTTTTTAATGCCGGCATTTAATGTCCATCTAGTTGAAATTGAAGCAAGTGGTTCCACTCAGATCCTCCCCACTAGGGCTCACTTCTAAGACTAACTCATTTGATTAAATCAAGCATTACATCCCGTACGTATAATCTACAGTCCGAGCCTTGTAAGTACTCCAATACACACATTAGGTGGTAAAAATACAGCTGATGGGATGTGGTGGTGGTCATGAGCTTGGTATGTGACGGTTATGAATGTGGTTGGTATCGCAATAAAAGATGTGGTTCGTGGTAGATGCAGATTGTCCCGTAATCCAGAGCATACAATCGTAGTCCATGCCGTGAATTCATGTCGTCGTAGTGAATAAAGATAAAAGAGAAAATCGGAGAATATGTAGTAGATCGTAAGAACGAATCGTGGATAATTAAGAAGGAAAGGATGGACCCATTAAAAGGGTTGAATGAGAACAAATCGTCGTCGTCGTCGTTGTCGTCACAGTGGAAGATCATTTCCGGAATGGGTTCTTCGTCTTGCTGTCTTCCTCCACTCCCAAAGTGCTCTGCGAGAACCTCGACGTCAAGAGATCCCTCTTCGCCGGCTGCCTCGCGTCTGGCGCCCGCCTCGGCATGCCCGTCATCTGCGAGTAGATCGACGGCGCCGACATCCTGCTGCTCGCGTCGCTCAACGAGCGCCTGTCATAATCATCCTCCTTCAGGCCGCGGCGCTGGTCAGCAGGCGTGAAGCGCGTGTGCTGAGCATTGTACCGCGTCGGCTCGGGTGGCGACACGGGGCAGTTGTACGACCCGATCAGGCGCACCATGTCCTCGTCCTCCGCGTCCACCTCATATGCATCCAGCCGCCGCGCGGGCACAGGCGGAGGTGTAGCCATAGGAGACCGCGCCTCCTCTGCGGCGCGGAGCTTGCGCAGTTTGACCTCCTCTGGCTCTTGTGCAGGCCCGAGGTGGACGATGGGGGCGCCGCGGACGGTGACCCGCCGGCTCCTGGTGTGCCCGAAGAGCTTCTCGCCCCAGCGGATGAGTCGCCAGCGCCAGCTCGTTCGCCCGCGGGTGACTGGGCCCTGTGCGAACAGCTCTGTCTTCTTCGCACGCTGCTTTCGCTGTCGGCGCCTGCAGCACCAGATGAACGCGAGGAAGATGAAGGCGCAACCAAGAGCCATAAGCAGGATCTGCCACCATTCAAGCCTTCGTGGACCGCCGACGACGGTTGGGGTTTCGAGGCCTGTCACGGTAGGGAGAGGTGGTGCCGTACCCGTAGTTGTCGTTGTGACCAGTTCCGAGAGACAGGCGCCCAGCCCAGCGACGACATTTGAGCTTGTTTCGCAGTTCGCCGCGACGCAGGTGCCGCTGCGAAGGACTTGAGTTGAGCTTGAGCACGCGAGGCAGTTGCCTGAGCCCGGTCCTGAACAACTTGAGCAGGTCGAGTCGCAGGTCTGGCAGGTGCCCGACGTGTTGTCGAAGTACTGGTTCTTGGCGCAGGTCGGAAGACAGCGGCCGTTCGTCAGGACAGGGCGACTAGACGGGCAGCTGGAGCATTGGTTGAAGTTGCCTCCAGTGCAGCTGGCGCAGTCGGGATTACAGGTAAGACAGGCACCAGAGGCTGAGAAGGTGCCGGAGGGACAAGTCGCGACGCATCGGCCGTTGGAGGCAAGTTGGTTGTTCGAGCAGGTCAGGCAAAACGTTGAAGTTCCGGCACAAGAGGAGCAGGAAGAGTTGCAAGCTAGAATGAAGAACGCGTTATAAAGTGATAAGTTGGGTCGAGAGAGAGCAACTTACGAATGCAAGTCTTGTCATCCTGGGAGGAGACAGTTGTTCCGGACGGGCAGGTCTCGACGCAGGCGCCATTGTTGAGGAAGAAGCCCGGCAAGCATTCGGTGCATTGCTTCTGGTCGACAGTAGATGCAACGCTAAAGTTGGGAATCCTGCACTTCGTGCATTTGGCGCCGCAGGCTATAAGACAGACGACGATCAGACACAGAAGAAGAATTCAAAGATCGCAGGACTCACTATCGCATTCACGCTTGTTATTGTCAGCGATGAGATCCACACCTTGACATATGCCATCGGAGTTGGCAGGAACGCAAGCCCCGTTGAGCGTGAAAAGGTTCGGGGCGCAGACGACGCAGTCGTTCGAACTTCCTCCAGTACATGATTGGCATACTGAGGAGCAGGGAGAACAAGAGCCGCCGTTGGAGAAACTTCCTTCAGGACAGACCTGGCCGGAGGTGGTGGCTTGTTGGATGGGGTTGCACTGCGTTCTGTCGTTGGTATTGAGCGTGAATCCAGACTTGCAACTCGTGCATTCGCCACTCCCATCTGAGCATTGGGTGCACCCAATTTTGCAGACTACCCAATAGAATGAAAATTATTAGACACAAGTTGGCATTGTATAAAGATGGGACGTACCTTGGCAATCTCCGCCAGATGTAAGGAAGAAGCCTGGCGAGCACTTGGAGCACAGGGTACCGTTGTCACCAGTGGTGAAACCAGGGTTGCAGGGGCATTGGCCGTTAGTGCCACAAACGCCGTTCTCGCAGTTGCAGGTGGCAGGCGCGTTGGCAACTTCAGGCAAGATACAACGACCTGTTCCTGTGATGCCCTCATCGCAAGTCTTGCAATTCGACGGGCATGCCTGGCATTGAGGACCAAAGAAACCAGGAGCACAGGACTCGCATGAGACACCTGAGAATCCAGCTGCGCATTGGCAAGTCCCGGCTGAGGTACAGACTCCCGACGCAGCGCAGCCTGGGGTGCAGGCAGTCGATTGGATGTCGGTGAGAGATAGGGATCCTTGATTGCTGAATGGCAATTGGCCAACATCAGGAATGGCGTCCCAGACAATGACGCGGTTGTTGGCAGAACCACTGCTGAGAGCTATCCAAACATTCGACGAAACCGCTAGCGACTTCGCTGTCAAGGGTGTTGACGCATTCACGATGGGTTGGTTAGGGAGTGGTTGGAATGCAGATTGGCCAGAGTAGAGAGATCCAGAGTAAATTGAGAGGCCGGATTCGAGAACAAGGTTGAGTGGCAGTGATATTGATGAGGAGTTGGTGAAGCCGGATGACGACTTCAGGGATGATGATGAGCTTGTGAGGGCGACATGGAGGAGTTGTGGGTTTGTCGTGGACGTATAGACGCCAGGAAGGAGATGGATTGGACTTGAGAGGCCCGGCGCGGTTATGTCGGCGCCGACTATGAATCCTCGTTAGTTCAGAACTAATAGAACGTCGAGATCGACACGTACTTGTCGTGTTGGAATAACCTTGGAGGCATTGGCCTGGAATACAGACTACTGTAGGTGTTGATGATGTAGTAGATTGTGCAACTGTAGAAATGGTTAGCAAACCGAATAAGCGAAGCGTGGTAGTCTACTTACTTATTGGTATAGGCAAGAAGAGCAGCAGGGAAGCGTAAAGTCTCGCGAACATCGCGAGAAGGCTTTCTGAACGAAAGTTGGGGAGATGGTGGTGGTGTGAGGTCAAGAGGGAAATGCGAGGTCCGACAACGGTGGCCAGTGAACAAGACCCGCCGCTCGCTGACTTGAGGCGCTGTCCGCATTGTCACTGTGCATTCTTCAGAGCCTTTTGTTCGAGGACAATACTTAATAGATGGTCGCGGTGGTCATGCAGGTCAAGCGTTGCTATTGTCGGCCAAATCGGGCAGCCATTATTTGGTTCCGCATTGTTTGGCCCCTTGGTACAAATAAATGAATGCCAAGCAGATATCCAAAAATAGGCATTTTATCCATTTTGGAATAGCTGCCTCTCGGAGATCCTGGGCATCGCGGGCACATCGAAGCAAATCAAGTTATCGCGTCATTGAAGATCCTCAAAAGCACAGCCTTCAAGTGTTGAGAGTGGGCCGCCCAGCGGAAAAGAGATATATGACAAGAAGAACAACCAAAAATAGGGTGAAGTACACAGGATTCGACCAACCGAACGTAACGAAGGAAGGGACTCGGAGAAGAGGGTACAATACTAAGAACAGAAGCTATGCATACAAATCAAGAGAGCAGAACAGAAACACGGCCAAGTGAAAACAACATACAGGAATAAAATACAGGGAAAACAGCGGAAAAAATGAAGGAACCAATACAGGATTCAACGCTGCTCAAGGGGCGATTCGCCGACCGAGGAGTCTTTGTTAGAATTACCAGGAGCCCGACTGAGTGAGGACAGAATTCGTAGAGTCCAAGCCTCGTAAAAGGGATTCAGGCTGTAATCTCGGGATTAAGATTGATCGAAACACTTGATCGAGCACAAAGTCACCATACCTCGGAAGCACCGTCGGACTGAGCAAGAAAACCGAGATCGACCGAGTCAATATGCATAGCCTTTGGATGTTTAATGAGTCTGAAAACGATAAGGTGATTCGATACATACCGTATTGCCAACATCGAGGTCTTCCTCGCTGTCCGAGCTGCGTGCTTCGAGCGAAAAAGAGAATTGAAAATGGGAAAGCTCCTGCTCCAAGTCCAAATTGTCAGCACTTCTATCTCGACTCGACAACCTTCGAAACCGACCTTGGACAGCACGCGACAGTCTTCTGAATCAGGGTACAAATCAGAATTTGTATGCGTCGACCAGTCCGAACCATCGGGAGCGTCATAAAAGGTCGCATCGTCGCCATTTGAGCTCTGGTTTGCCTAGCAAACACCGTTCAGAAGGTGGACCCAGGCAAGGAAGGAGGGAAGAGACACGCACAGAGTCACCGTGCCCACTGATATCAGCGTTTCCCGAGTCCTCCTCATCATCAGAGATTTCAAACGAAATATGATCCTCGCTTCCGTCTTGACTTCCCTCATCCGCCTCGACGTCCTCCTGCTCCTGCTCCTCGTCCTCGTCACGAGAATTCGCGCCCATCCCAACCTGGATAACAGGAACCCCCTCCTCGCTAGCAGAAACAACCTGAGGAGCATACGGTCTCTGGTACCCCGCAAAATGATACAAGAGTGACAGGAGCACCGACAGCACGAACGAAACCATGACCGAGCCGCAGACAATAAAGTACGCCATCGCTTTTAGCCGGTCAGTGCCTTGGAGCCCAAGCACCGTCTTCAGCTTTGTTTTCATCTTCATCTTCATCGACGTCGTCGTTGGGGAAGGGGTAGGTCCAGGTCCGAGGGAGAGCGCGACTGGGGTGGCCGTCGTTGAAGGGGCGAACTGCACGACCTTGACGTTGACGGTGGCAAGTGGTTGGGCCGAGGCGACGGGGGCCGAGGCGGCGCGCGCGGGTGTCCAGCGGAGGGCGTTCTTGCAGATTGGCATCGTCGCGTGAGGGGTAGGGACCTGGGTGACCTTCATCAAAGGAGGTGAGGGTACGAAGAGGGGCGGGGGTACATAGATCTCTTTGGGAGTCAATGGGAGCTGTAGAGGCTCCAAGAATGCCAGAGGGACGGCCTTAGCTTGAGGTTGCAGAAGAGGGTGGATCGTCTTTGTTGCTCGTCGGACTGGTTGGGAAGCCTGAGTGGGCTGGGCGAGTGTCGTGTGGGTCAATAATCCCGGAATTCGAGTCGCTTGAGGATGGTCCTTGCTCGCCAAATCCTCTGTTGCCCGACGCGCTAAGTCTGACTGGCGGGGAGTATGCGGGAGTACGGTCCTCTTCTCGATATTGGGCGAGCGATGGCGAGCCTTATGGGTCAGGTACCGCTGGAGCAACCAGGCTAATGCAGGCACGACGACCAACAGATCGAGGCAAGGTCCCAAAATCGCCCTCCAGTCGAGGTCACACAACCAGGGGAGCCAATCATCCAGTAGGCCGGGCGGTTCAGGTGGAGGCGGAGGAGGGGGTGCGCCACCCGTGGCGGTCCACAAACCAAATCGCCTTTGATGCGAGTTGTCCGCGTCGTTGACCTCTTGTTCAGGCGGCTGCTCGCCTCCATCGCCAGGTGCAGGTGGGTTTGACGAGCCGCCATCATCAGCGTTCTGCGAACCGGATCCAGACCCAGTACGCATGTCGTTCGTGTGCGAGGCTCCTGCATCTCCAGACTTGCTTCCACCGCAAGAACTTGAAGACGACGTTGCAGAGCTTGGTGCGTTGGAAGCTCCTCCGCCACCACCATTCAGGACACAACTCATCGTGCCAACGACGAGAATCGCACACGTCACAGCGCCCCACGCCGCATTACCCAACCCGCTGTCGATATCGCGAAACGAAGGCTCCGTCTCGCTCGCCAGGAGCGGGACGGTCGTCGAAGCGGGCAAGAATATCGTGGAGTTACTGCTCAGCTTCTCCAGGAAGACGTTGTCAGCGAGCTGACGCTGGCGATACTGGTCATGAATATATGCGATACTTGCCATGGCGGTGCTCTTATTGAGTCGGGGCGATCCGTAGACGCGCCGGAAGACGTAATCCTCCAAAGCGTGTTGGGCGAGGTCGATTGTGACGGTCAGAGCGAGGTTGGCAATCGCTTTGGACAGACCACCTGTAAGAATGTCGCCTGTGGTCGCGGACGTGAGGAGGCCCATGATTGGATGAGGAAAGGAGGAAACTTAGCCTCGGCGGGGTACTGAGGAATGCCAGAAGCTGGAGATGGATCCTGAACTTCGCTGGTTGGTCCTATTGAAAGAAAAGATTGTCAACCTGGAAGGGTATTTGTACGTCACGTTAAATATGATCGGTGGATAAATCGGGGTGGGAGAAGAAACAGAGAGGACATAGACGCCCCCAGCGTTCACAAAACGGCATTGACTATCGAGCCTTTTGGCGAGCTCTACATTGTTAGGCCGCACACCAGAAACCAAGTTGGATGGGGCACAATGATGCAGGTTAAGGATGATGGATACGGTCATTGAGGGATCCGATAAAACACAGGATTTCATAGTCGTTTCATAGTACAGAGGATTCTACTGAAAGGATTTGTATGAGTACATCGAACAGACAGCGAAGACAAAAAGTGGAGAGTCAGAGAAGCCGTGATTTTCATTCTCCTCTCCCTCGGTTCGAGCTCCCGAGTCAGCACACCTATCCCAAAACGAGATAGACACGCACGACTCCCACCTGAGCAAGCCCAAGCAGAAGCGACCAAGAGGCCCGACAAGAAAAGAGCAGTTCAACGAATGGATGAACTTGGTTTCGTCCTACTGGAAGAGAAGAAAATATGAACTCACCACTAGGGTAAACTACTTCACACACCAGCTCCATCCGATATGTATATCTGGTAAGAAGAGGGTTAGTAAAGGCTTGAACAGGCGACATTCGAGGGAGAATAGAGGTCAGAGAGTTATTTGGTAAGATTCAAGTTGTCCGCAAGAGGTTGACTCTCTCGTTCGGAAGCAGAACTGAAGTAAACATCATTCGAAGAGAAAGGACTCCCTTCTGGCATAACTGAAGAGTGTGTACTCACCATAGCTGCGTGAAAAAAAGGGATGTCTGCGTCCTTCTGGTAGAAGAGGCAAAATAACTCTAGCTAGGCTGGGAAGAACTGTACAGTTCAATTTGAACTCCGACGGATAAGACAGGGGAACAATGAAGCGGAGTCTGAAAAGTTTCTTCCTTACCTCCCTTCGATGTCTTCACGGCATGGAGGGTGCGAATGACCCCTCGGGTCATAGAAATGATATAACCTGTGAGTACGCTTTCTTACCTCTTGGCGAAGATGATATTTTCCATTCTCGAGTTGGTGACGATTTCTCGATGAACCGCACTCGTAACATGCATCACCAACTGAGCCTCCTGCATTCACCTTTCTTCCTCTGAATTTTCGAACTTAACTGACCCGAATCCTCTCCCAGGTTATAAGGATCGAGTGTGAGTATAAGCTCCGTCAAGGTTCAAGACGAAACTTGTTAGTGGACGACATCTACATGGGCTTTCGGCTAACACACCACCCGCTGAAGCCTTGTTGGTATCGCGTATCGGTGCTTGAGGATTCGGACTTAGGGCTCACATCCTTCGTCGGATGCAGGTTCGCTTTGAGCACAGTTTCTATTCTCATGTTGTAACAATGTGAGTGGGTGTTGCATATTTCTCCATTTCCTTCCCCTCCCGACGATGAACCAAAAACAAAATTGACAAGCATATGGCCGATCATTCATGACGGACTTTTTTTATTATCTGAGGCTCATTTGCACGATCGTAATCCTTTTCCAACTTGCTGACTTTTCTTCTCTCATAGGTGAAATACAGATGTTCCTCTCTCGTGACGAATGTAGATAGTATACGTTCGCTACCAGCCTTGTATTAGCCTCTATGAATGCTATTCTATTTTATCCTTGTTGTAACACCTTTACGGCGTGAAGGAATGCCTGGCGAAGGGTATGAAATCATTCTTGATGATATTACATCTGACATTTGGCCGTTGCCGAGGGTTAGATATTTTGTCAGTCGTCTTCGACTTGGAAAAGATCGAGGAAGAGACCATCTTCAAGAGGTGGTTCTACGACATTTCTTCTCCCTTTCCTCATCACTGTGAAGTATCAGGTTCAGTTTGACCCCCTGACGGAGAACCGGAAGACATACATTCACGTTGTTTACGCCTCCACCCCCACTTCTTCACCCTCTTCTCCGGATCGACCAACCACCCATCAAACTTCTTCGCCAACTTCGGGTCCTCAACTCGGCACAACTGCACCAACCTCGCGCCCCACTTCCTAAACTCATCCACATCGCCCAAGGTCGCATGCGCCATCGCGATCTCCTCGATGAACAGGTTCTGCAGAGCATACACATTCTCGATCTCGATAAGGACGAGCGCTTCCTTGTGCGCCTTGATCAAAAGATCATCCGCCCGACACAGGTCCGTACTCCATTTCTTGTAACTCAGATGCGTGAAGATCCATGTCCCGAGCTGCTCGCGGCGCGTGTCCGACTCTTTGATCCTTGCCAATTCAGCGGATGTGAAGGCCTCTTGCGAGGTGTAGCCATCCTGGCGGATGTCACACCAAGGGCAGTCGCAGGTGAAGCGGTAGTTTGTCTTCAGCGTCCGCGTCCGCGAGGCACGCGAAAGGATGGGGTTGACGTACGACATGAGGACCTCCTCGCCTTCTTTGATGTCGCGCAGGGCATACAACGACAGAGAGAGCGTGGCCAAATCCCACTTGACTGCAGCATTTGGCCCACAGCTGGGAGAAGGGATGAATGGCATCGTCTCCGCAAGATAAACGCCTCGCACCTGTGGTTGGATCGATTAATGCACGGATACACGGCCCCGTAGATCTCCCCCTCCCCCAGCCGTCCCTCCGGATCCAACTCCAACACCAGCGCATTCATCCCCTGTACCACCGTCGGGCACTCTTCCCTCCCTCTGCAATCGGCCATATTCACCATTTCTTGCCTCCTCTTCTCTGGAAGCGCCGCCCCGAGAGCCTCATACGTTGCGTCGGGGAATTGCCCTGACGGTATGATCAAAGCAGGGTGCTCAACCACGATCAGCTCGCCGTCGGGAATGGAACGCCTGGCAAACATCCCGGTACCCTTGTTTGGCGTTGGGAGTATGGCGAAGGAGGGGTCTTTAGGTGGTTGTTGGCGTGAGGGGAGCGGCGAGGGCAGGAATGGGATGAGGAGAGGGTTGATCAGGCATGAGATCGGCGCTGGTTCGTCCTTTGGGTCGGCAGCAGTAAGTGAAAGAGTAAATAAATCATAAGACCGCCCATCTATTGACCAAGTGGATAGAGGAGGCCCGCTAGGGCCACTGCGAGGCGATGTAGAAGACGGGAGGTCGTCCTGGACCGATTCTTCTCCACGAGACGTCTGTTCTTCTCCCATGCAGAAGTTAACAAGATAAGCTTATAAGATATATTCACTTCCTGAACTGCCGAGCCTTGAGATTTGTAGATTCCAACGTTTGGATTGTGGTGTGGCGCATTCGCGGATCGTCGGGGTAGAAGAGCAAGCGGAAATCGTGAGCTCGACATTTTTTTTGTATCCAGACGGTATACCGGTCCGGATTTCCGGACCCCCTAACTTGACAGTGCCATCGCCCTATAGAGGACCTACACCCTGATTAACCAATGCCCAATGGTAGTAGTACAAATGTGCCTTCTATGATACACTGTCTATCAACCCCATGCATGCGCATACCGTAGTCCTGATCCAACGTGAACGACTACACCCGGACCATCCTCGTCAACTCGAATCATATCCTCTCCCTCTTCTTCCGGACAGCTCAATCGACGACTCATCGACTCCTGTCCTACTCATATCCCGACCAAAATCTCCATCTCGGTCATAGTCCCGCCCTCGCTCAAAACTCCGTCCCTCATCAAGATAACCCACCGAGGATTCAGACACACAATCCGTCCTCGTCGTGGCTAACCCATGCGGGATGATCGTCATGTTTGTGCTAAGCTGTTCGTCGAAAAAGGACGTGAAGATGGGTTCGGCGAGGGTCGAGCTGAGGGCGCCACCCGATGGCGTGCGGGCTGGGGGCTGCCGCGCCGTCATGTTCGCGCCGTACCGTTGGCGGAAGATGAGGAAGAGCACTCGGTTGCAAAGAACAGAGTGCATGACGCGTTGGGGTCTGGGAGAGGAACGGTAGGAGGGTAGAAGCGGCTGGTTAGGACGGCTGGGTGGATAGGTAGAAGGGGCGGACGTACGTCGCGAGTGTGTTGGCGTATGCTCTCTGAGGAAGGGTCAGGAACGTGAGCAATCGTATGGTGGGAGGCAGGAAAGCTTACAGGACCAAAAATAGGGACCAATACATTGGCAATCGAGATTACTGGCAAGAGTACGTATCAGGTACTCGTTCCAAGGAGGTCGGTAGATGGACTTACGAGCGAGGTATACATAGAACAAAAGACCGTCGCGGTAGAGCTGTACTACCCAAGGGGCATGCGAGTGCCGAACTGCAACGACAAAATGTCAGCCTTCAACTAGGAAATCGGTAAACAGGACATGGTGCTTACGATGTCGGACTGCCTTGATCCCAGTCAAAACCGCCATCACTGAAGGTAGTATTGATTGTCTCAGCACATGTCTACGAAGAGTACTCATGCATGGAGAGCGCTTACTCGTCTCGCAGAGCATTAAGAGAATGTAGGCTACAATGATTATCGGGCTTGCGTGCGTTATTCGACAACCAGGAATGTCGTTTTGGGCATCTGGAATAAAGTAAATGGAGATTAATTCATCCTGTCTAGCTAACGATAGGAGAATGGGAGACGTACATCTCAAGGACTGAATTTCCAGCTGAGTGACCACAATCGCAGGGACAAAAGCGCACTGCACGGAAGAAAATCAGAATTTTATCGGCTAAGGGACTCGTCAGGAGATAAAAAGGAAGCCGACAGTTTGCGACACGATAGTAGAGCTGAACGGAAGAGAATCTGAGGGCTCACTAAGGCTGTTACGGAGAGAAGGATGCCAATCCATCGCTTTCGCTCCCAAAGTGCGAAAGTTCTCAGAAGGAGGATCCCTAGGTCACCATCAACTCTCCATCGAGCTCGCAAATAGGAAGAATAAGCACACCTTCTGAAATGATTATCCCAGAGACGATGTACCCTGCACACAATACAAAGAAGCGCTCAGGATTGATGGGAAACGACCAATAGTGGAGGAACACGAACAAGTGACGACCTTGAACTGTGTGTCACATGTCTACCGAGATAAATTAGAAGGAGAGTTAGCTTCTTTCATAACGGCCAAGATAAAGAAGAGACGTGCTTACCTCAGGGCTGACCACGGTGAACTTGACTACAGGGGGTCCAGGATAGGCACATTATCAAACCGTCCACAGGTCAAACCAACTGAGACTTACGTCGTAAGGACATAACGGTATCAACGAAAGGTAGATATCTGTTCAGAAGGAACAGCACAATGCCCACAGACCACTGGAAGTTTTTCCAGACATAAGTAACCTAGAGATAATCGTGTTTAACGGGAAGAGGTGAGAGGTGTGAACATGCCGACCTCTTGATCAAGGGTGCAGATGTAGTCGTAAATCTAACAGTCATTATTGAGCACGACCACCACCACGGGCCAAAAACCGGATAAACGCACCAAAAGCGTCATGCATGCAACCAGAGTGCTCTGTACGAGTGTTGTGTCCAAAAGCTATAGCCAGAAAACGCCGCAATTTTCCGATAAAGCAATTAGTGCTGCCATCGACGACCCTGTGGCGACAGACACGTACCGTCAACGGCCTCTCCAGCGTACCAGAGTCCATCCTCCGCGTCACATCGAGCTGTGAGGACAGCAAAGGGCGGGCACTGCGCAGGCGCAGGCGGGGGTTGGTGGGGGTGAAGGAGGCAAGGAAGCGATCGATCGTCGAGGCTCGGAGGCAACCTGTTTAGCGGGATGACCAACCTGCCTGCCGATGCCCTTTTCCTCGGCAACACCGTCTGCTCCCCCTCTCCTAAATTTTATGAACCACGCGCTGCGTGGATCATGGTGACGGCAGGTGCTCTTCGAATCTCCATTTGCACAATCCCCAATTCCAACTCTCCGGACCGGACTGCGTGGACGTGACAACCGCCGCTCAGCTCCGGGTCGGAATCTCCTCAGTTCCGTCATCTGCTCAGTTAGGGGAACTTTTTGACTATTTTTGGTGCACAACATCGGTGTAGGTGCTGATGCATCGCTGATGCTAAGTCCGGACGTGCTGAAGTGTTTGATCGTCTATCAGGGAGCGATTCTTATCATGTCTGCAAAAAGAAGGTGGAAGGATGGCCAATCTTTGCCAGAGACACGCAGCAAGTAGGTAGGTAGATGCTGAGAAGTCCCAAAGTGGGCGCCTATTTTCAGCCGCGATGTGCGCTTTGTCCAATTGTATTTCATAATGAGTAATTATACATGCAGGGACCACCATACGCATGAGAGGTGGAAATGTAATTTTGAAAGCAAAGGAGGCACCTATTTCTATGCATCGACACTAAGGACCCACTAGTAAACACTATCGTCTCGGGAGATTTTCTAGCAATCATTACCAGGAATCACATCATAGTCAACACAAAATGCCAAAACCCAAGACTTCGTCTACATTTCTCATCACCTTCCCAATCACCTACCCATAACTCCCGAAGCCCGTCCGAATAAACTTCTACTCACATATCGGCATTGACAACCTGGACGACGTTCATATGCCTGCTCTCCGGGTCCGAATTCACGTCGCCCTGAATCCCATTTGCCTTTGCCTTCGCAGCAGCCTCGATCGCCTCCGAGGCGCTCTTTAGCTCGGCCTCGCTGACCATCGAGCCTGTGGGATGGGGTGGGACGAACGTCTGCAGCTGCATCTTTATCTGCGCCTCGAGGACCTTAGGTCCGCACGACGCCGCTACGAACCCAATGAAGATGGGGGACGGGTTCAGTGGGCGGGTGCAGAACTCGGGGTGAGCCTGAAGGCCGACGAAGAAGGGATGTTCTGTGAGCGAAAGGATTATGTTCAGCGTCAACCTAGTGGACTTGTCACAGCGGCTGAGAGAACAAATGTACGTACCCCGCAGCTCGCACACCTGCATCCGCTCGCCCTTCTCGTCCTTGCCCACGAAGTTCATCCCGCTCGCCGCGAGCTTGTCGACATACGCCGGGTTGACCTCGTACCTGTGGCGATGTCGTTCCCAAATCTTGCCCTTACCACCGTACAGCTTGCGCACGCGCGACCAGTCCTCACTACCTGGCTCAAACACCGTAGGCCGCAAGCCCAGCCGCATCGTGCCCCCCATGTGTGTCGTTGAGATCTCAGGCATGAAGATCACGACGGGGTGCGGCGAGGTGGGGTTGAACTCGGCAGAGGTTGCGTCTTAGAATTAGAGGAGTGATCAAGAATAGCGAAAGAAGAAAGAGACGTAGGTCACATACCGGAGATATCGAGCACGTTTCGCGCCCACTCGATGACCGCGAGCTGGAACCCAAGGCAAATGCCCAGGAAGGGGATTTTGGCGTCTCGGGCGTACTTGATGGCGAGCATCATGCCCTCCGTACCGCGATGTCCAAATCCACCAGGCACAAGGATACCCCTGGTCCGGACGTGATCGTCAGAACCACGGTATATCTAGCAAGAAACATGACACTCACCCGGCACCAACAACGGCCCTCCAGGCGTCGTGGTACTTCTTCGGATTCGACTCTTGTGTTTCCGGCTCGAGGTCGGACGATTCCACCCACTATTGGTTTCCATTAGCGGCTGCTTTCCACTTCTGCACGAACGGGGCAAGAAGCCTACCTGGATTGTCAACTTCCTGTGCACCCGGAACGCAGAGTGCTCGAGCGCCTTGGTAACACTCATATACGAGTCCTTTAGGTCCGTATACTTTCCAACAAGCGCGATCGAGACGGTGTCGAATAATCGTTCTTGCCTGATTTCACGAAGTAAGCACAGTGCCTTGGAGCAAACGAAAGACAACACACCCAGACGTCAAATCCCTCCACCTTTCTTCGAGTTCCAAACCCTTCTTCTTCATCTCCTCGCTGACCCCCTTACCTCCGTTCTTGTTGTCCGGGCATACGCCCAACTTGAGCCGGCGGTCAAGGAATTCGACGATGCCCTGGCTCTGCAGGAGTAGAGGGACGTGGTACACGCTTGACACATCGTGCACACCGAATACCTGCTCCGACGCGACGTGACAGAACATCGAGATCTTGTCCTTCGTCGCGGGGTTGAGCGGCTGGGGCACTAGCAAGCGACACGCGATCTACGCGACATTGCATGAGGAAAAGGAGGGGAAAACCTGCGAGATAACCACGTACTAGGTCAGGCAGCAACCCGAGCCCTCGGAGCGAGTGCACCGTCGTCTGCGTCGGCTTCGTCTTCTGCTCGCCATGCATGTCTGGCACGAGCGAAACATGGATGAGCGCAAAGTTGTCGTGCCCTACCCGGAATTGGAACTGTCGCATCGCCTCCACGAACGGCGCCGACTCAATGTCGCCCACCGTGCCGCCGAGCTGCGGAAAAAGTCAAACGCGTCCTGACGCGAGGAGAGCGCTAGGAACACACCTCGACAATGCACACGTCCGGCTCCTCTCCGGACTCGTCAACGGGGATTTTTGAGACGCGTTCGATCCAGTCTTGGATCGCGTTCGTGACGTGTGGGACGATCTATCGCGTCGTGTCATGAGTCACGAATGAGTCATACAAGCGTGGATAGCAGAAGGCTCACCTGAACGGTCTTTCCCAGATATTCTCCTTTTCTCTATGAGAGGGCGAGGACGTGTCAGAAGTATTCGGAGTACTCTGTGGACCTCGGTTCAAATGTGGATTCCTCGCGTCCATCCCACGGCTCGTCCGAGACAACTTGAGAAGAAGTTGACACTTGCCTCCTTCTCAATGACCTCCCTATATATCTTCCCAGTCGTGATGTTGTTATCCCGTGAAAGGGTGACATTGAGGTATCGCTCGTAGTTGCCAAGATCAAGATCGACTTCGCCGCCATCGTTGAGGACATAGACCTCACCTGCACGCATTTTACAGCGTCAGCAATGATATAACCGTGTGAAGTAGATGGAGTATGATAAGGAAGAAGTAAACGCGGAGTTCTGACACGCACCATGTTCGGTTGGCCGCATCGTGCCCGCGTCGATGTTCATGTAGGGGTCGATCTTGATTGCAGTGACCTTCAAACCGGTCGTTTTGAGAAGGAGACCCGTCGACGAGGCTGGTGGACGCGTAGCATAGTCGTATAATGGAGAGATAAGGCAGGAAAAGCAATTGATATGGATTGGCGCCCAAGGATGAGTGACACGAGGTAGACGACGAATAAGGGAGAAAAGACGCGATAAAGGGGGAAACAAATATTAACGACAGAACGAAGTAAGACATGGACTAGAGACAGACCGATGACACCCTTCCCGATCCCACTCACTACACCACCCGAAACGAGGATGTATTTTGTCATTGTCGTTGCTCGTGACCGCTTCGAAATATTATTCAATCGTGAAAATGTAACAGTTTAGTTCGTCGTGGCGCCTGGAGAGCTAGGTTGGTAGTGTCGCAAAGTCTTTGCAGACTGTCCAGCACAATCGGTGCTCTAGAATCAGAGCAAGCATTGCACGACGATCAAGAATGAACGTACCTCAACGTTCGCGGATCGGGATCGAATTCGCAGGGATACAAAGTGACCAAGAAAGACGACGAGACAACAACTGTCGAGTCTGCGTTCAAGGTGATAGAAATTTTGTCGGATCGGACACTCCATTAACCCCCAGAAGATGCTGCCAACCAAGACCAAAGAACGGCATCGCCACACCAGCCGAGGCAATGAGATTCTCGGCATTCTTCTGATTGGTGCGGACGAATCGTGGGAGTCTGCTTCTTTTTTTTGCGCATGTGTTGGCGAATTTGACCGGAAGAAAATCTCTGCGTTTTGGTAACTCCCATTTCCCCCCGCTTCCTGTTTCCTTTTACCCCTTTCAAAAGCCTCTTTCAAGAGGTCTCCGAGCAGCTTTTGCGGCTCATCCTAATCCAAAAGACCAATAAGTCGAAATGGCGTCTTCCTCACGCACCTCTCTGCTGGCAAAAGTTGCGCGGCTGAGCACCACAAATAGCAGCAACAGCATGACAGCAAGGTGTATGCCTATTTTTCGTCGTTCATTTATCTTGTTGGCATCTAGAAGAGGTGGTAAGTGCTCATTATCCCGCTCCTGACGATTCATGAAATGACATTACCAACTTTCAGGATTCCCCCAACAGCGCCTTCCCTTCCCTTCTGAACTCTTGCTTCCTCGGGCATTTTCCACGTCTTCGCCTTTCTCGGCCTCCGTTGCTGAAAAACGGAGGTCCTCTGGACCTTCGAGTTTGGAGTCTGAGGACGCGCTATCAGAAGACGTGTCTCTGGCCTCCAAAGAGGCTATTCCGGACTCCCGTGTTCCCATCCACACTCTGCGCGGAGTTATTCACGAAAACACCCTGAAGGCCATGACAGTGCACCCCTTCAAGCACACACACATGTCTCCTGTGCAAGAACACATCCTTCCCCTTCTTCCCGACCTTGCCCTCCCACACGACCAACACCCTTCCACAACATCACCGTCAATGTCCCACCACAAGCCACGCGACCTTCTCGTTAAGGCGAAGACCGGTACAGGAAAGACCATGGCCTTCCTCGTTCCTGCCATTGAAGCGCGAGTCAAGGCCATTTCCGATCATGTCGAGTCTTCTCTGGAGCAGCTCAAGGCTACCGGCCTCCAGCCCAACCTTTCTGACCGTCTAACTGCGACACGACGATTGCCACACAACAAGTTGGCACGCTGATCATCAGCCCAACCAGGGAGTTGGCGTCGCAGATCGCTGTGGAAGCCATGAATCTGACCCATCATCACAAGGGTTTTCAGGTTCAGTTGTTGCTAGGTGGTGAGAGCAAGGGTAGACAGCTGAGAGAATGGAGGGGTAGGAAGGACGTTGTGGTTGCAACACCGGGCCGCTTGTTGGACTTGTTGAACTCGGAGGATAGCGTGAGGGATGCCATCCAGCATGCCAAACTGGTAAGCCTTTTGTCGAATATCTTGAGTTGCAATGGCTGATGTCTTCCAGCTTATTCTTGATGAGGCCGATACCTTGCTGGACATGGGTTTCAAGGCAGATATAGAAATGATAAATTCATATCTTCCACCGACGCCACAACGGCAGACCTTCCTGTTCTCTGCCACGGTTTCGCGAGCGATCCAAGAAATTGCTCGAGACACGCTCTCCCGTTCGCACAAATTTGTCAATTGCGTTTCTGTGGATGACTCGCCGGTTCACGCCCATATCCCGCAATACCACACCGTCATACCCTCGGGCCAGGATGCCTTCCCTCATCTCCTCCGCCTGATCGCTCAGGACCAGCTTATCAAACTCGCTTCAGCCGATAAGCGTGGCAAGTCGGAGCCCAGCAAGGTTATCGTATTCTTTAACACGACGAAGATGGTGCAGCTCTTCTCCGACATGCTGCGCCAAGCCCAGAGCGCGCTGCCTTTGGCACGTCAGACACGCATATACGAGATCCACTCCAAACGTGACATGAAGCAGCGGGTGCGGGTGTCAGATGGTTTCCGCCATGATAAAGGTCCAGCGTCGGTGCTTGTCACCTCAGATGTGTCTGCTCGCGGAGTCGATTATCCCGGGGTGACGCGTGTCATCCAAATGGGCGTGCCAGCGGGGAGAGACATCTATATCCATCGTGTGGGTAGGACAGGCCGTGCAGGAAAGACCGATGGTCGGGGTGACTTGGTGATCAGCTCATGGGAGCTTCCGTTCCTCAAACAAATGGCCGACGTTGGCCTCAAGCCCGTCACCGTGGCGGAAGTGAAGAGAGACGTCGAGGAGCGGGCAGCAGCTGTCGGTGTGTCTTCGCCTCACTTGGCCTCGCTCGACAACCACGCGATGTCGATCTCTTCAGCGACCAACGCGCATGAAATCTCCGAGGCATACATGTCGCAGCTTGGGTTCTTCCTCGGGCACATTCAATCACTTGGCCTCGTGCAACCCGATGTAGTCAACGGTGTAGGCAAGTACTTCCAGGACCTAGGTGCACTGGAGGCGCCGCCGATGATGAGTCGGTCCATGCAGGAGAGGCTGCGACTCGGCTCAGCGAAGTATGAGAGGAAGGGTCAGGGCAATAGAGGTGGCTTCGGAGGGAGAGGAAGTTATGCGGACCGAGATCGTGAGAGAGGCGCAGGCAACAGGCGACCGGCTTGGGGAACGTATGCGTCAGGAAAGGATTTCCGTGGCTTGGGGCGTCACGAGCGCGAGAGGAGTCCTTGGGAGAGCAGAGGCGACTCGGATCGCTATGCAGGGTTCTCGAGAAAGGGTCGTGATGGTGCTCGAAGTAACGAAGGGTATGGGTTTTCGAAGGACAGGGGAAGCAGGCGCAACGCCCGATTTGACGAGTACTAAATTGCTGAACCTATAGAAACACAACCTACTCTACTTAGTATGCCGCGATTAGCTTGTTGGGCTGACGATATGTTATTAGCTTACTTTCTTTATGCTGTCCTAACTTAATGTGTACTTGTATGCATTTGGTATAGAATCCACCACTCTCGACCTTGAATGATGCGCATACACTGCTGTTGGGGATTCGGTGGGGGATACTGATAAGTGATAGGGGCGGACAGTCTCGGAGGAGGGAGGAAAGAGGCGGGGAAGAGGAATCGCAAATGAGTGCTGTATATACAGTTCTAATGCGCACGGACCAAGAGCTGAGGCCCAACCCAATAATTCCGAAGAGCGGACGCGTCGCGTCAATATTAGTTGATCACGTGTTTTGGCGACGAGGCGCTCAAATCCAACAAGAGCACTTGGAATGTATTTCGTTTCGGATAATTTCATTGTATATAGAAGCATATATCAAGCAATACTTTACAATTTATTGCTAATTCTCCCCGCATCCAAGGCGCAAACCAACATACCCTCTCCAAACACAACACCAACCCGCAATCCACGCCCAGCACGCACGACATACCCATCTGATGGTGCCACGATGACGTTCTCCATCTTCATCACACTCAATACCAAGAGGGGTTCGCCTTTCCTCACGCGCCTTGTCTCCTTGTCGTCTCCTGAAGCAAGGATTGCCGGATGCACTTCCACGACCTTGCCCGTCATCGGTGCTGCGACATGCGACTTGTCGTTCGGGTCTGCGAGTTCAAAGTCTCCTGATGAGACAGCTGCGCTTGTCGACTGTGTGAACTCGAATGATAGGGGCGTGGTCGATCCAGGGAAGAAAGACGACTGCAACGTTCCAGATAGCTTCTCAGGGAACGCGTTCATCGCAATCGAGGATAAGGTAACAGTATGCTTCGTTGACGCCCGAGAGTCTCCAGACAGAGACAGGTGGAACAAGGACCCGGGCTGCAACTGCGTCGTTCCTGAACCAACGGCTGCACTGCTCGAAACGGTCTTCTTCTGGTTGTTGTCAAGGCCTTTCGTCTTCGTTCTTTGTCTGACGGCTTCCTCGCCTAATTCTAACACTGAAGGGAGGTTTCTCTCCAGCCACAAAGTGTCGATCGCGCCAGAGACCCAGTTGGGGTGGTCCAGGACGCCTGCGAGGACAGCTGCATTCGTCTTCACTGCCTGGCTATCAACACGCAACTCCCGCAGCGCACGCCGCGCCTTTTGGTTCATTTCTTCGAATGAGCTCCCACGAACGATAATTTTCGCCAGTAACGAGTCGAGGTCGGTGCCAACTGTCCATTTGGCTTCGCCTTCTGGAAAAATTGTCAGCACGAGACATTTACGAGTGGAATTCTTACCGCTGCCAGCCCCCGGTCCTTGTGAGAGCCATGTGTCTATGCGGATGCCTCTTCCTTGAGGCCAGACAATTTCACTTGAAGATATCGTTCCAGGTGCGAGCTGGAACCCACGAGCAGGATCTTCAGCAGTCAATCGAAGTTGAACTGCAAACGATGCTGGCGGAGGTGGCGGGTTCGACAAAGATAGAGACGCCAAAGAAGATCCAGGAGATGAAAAGAGAAGGAGCTGTGCGCGAACGAGGTCGACGTCCGTTACTTCCTCTGTTGTATGTTAGGACGTCGACTACTTATCATAGAACCATGGACGAACCTGTAATCGTATGCTCGACTTGCACTCGAGGGTTAATTTCCAGGAAGATCCAGGTGTTTGTATTCGCATTTACGAGGTATTCAAAAGTTCCAAGCCCTTTGTATTTCAGATGGCTGGCGAGCTTCAGAGATGCGTCGATCAAAGGTTGGACCGCCTTTCGTGAGAGCCGTGAAGGCGCCATTTCGACAACCTTTTGGAACCTACAATCATGACGATAAGCAAGGCGTATTGAGGAAGTCGGTGTGTTGCGCACCTGCGCTGGACGCTGCATTGCCGTTCCCAGAAATGGTTTACCGCTCCTGTCCCATCGCCAATTATTTGCACTTCAACATGCTTCCAGCCAGGTCCTGTAAACGCCTTCTCTGCAAACACCTGCTTTGAGGGGCTCTCTCCAAGACATCTATTTAAGGCATCAAGCTGCGAAATAGAGCATTTTCTGGCTGGCACATACCGTTTGAACGCCTCCTCGACACCTTCCTCCCATTCGACAACCCGAATCCCCCTTCCTCCTCCACCGTCCAGAGCCTTGATCATCACTGGATACCCGACACCTGCTGCCTTCGCAAATGAACGAACATGGGACGCGGAGGAGACCCGCATCCCGGGGGCAATGTTCACATTCAGCGACGTCGCAAGGTCGCGCGAGAGCATCTTGTCCGACGCGATGCGAAGAGTGTCTGGAGCTGGACCAATGAAAAATACAGGCTCAGAACCGTTGGTCGCCTGGGAGAGAGCAATCGGTAATGCCGGGTTCTCGCTCAGGAAGCCATAGCCTGGATGCAAGTGCGTCGACTGGGTTTGTATAGCAGCATTGACGATGCTTTCGACGTTCATGAAGTCGGAGACGCTGTTGAGTTTGACTGCTTCGTCCGCGAAACCTGCGTGGCTAGCATCGTCGTCTATGTATATAGCGACGGTATCCCATCCTAATTCTCTTGCAGAACGCAGAATGCGAATGGCAACTAGGAACAACTCAGTATCAACTTCAAGTTCAACAAGGTGTTCAGATGAAAAGACCCACTTTCACCGCGGTTTGCAACCAAGACCTTGGGCATTCTCAACGCACGAAATTATCCCAGATGTCTGGGTGGTGAGAGCGGGTCTGTTGAGCTTTTCCATTGTGGGGGTGGGGTCAATTATGGGGTCAGGAGACAAGAGGCCCGGTTACTCTTGATGCCGAACCTCCACCATCACCCAAGCATATCCAGGTATTTCCCCACATCCAGGGGCTAGATCCCCTGGCGTCCTCTCCCCCAGTCCACCAGGCCTCCTTGAACCTGTTTCTACTCGTTCTAAGCTTCAGAACTACCAGGCAGGATGCCCTCAGACCCGTCGAAGACTAGGAAGGGTGAAGATGATGGATCAAGTTGGGCGGTACGTTTTCCAAAGAATCTCGCGACAGACATGAAGTTTTGGTCTGAAGCTCTCTCCGTAGCACCCTCTGGAGGAATTGAAAGCCCAGCAACGTGTAATACGCGCACCTAATCTCGAAGACCCGGGCTACATTCGCCAGAAGGCGAACAACAAGCTCTGGGTTCGTGAACGGATCGCCGCTCTCTTGGACCTAGATTCCTTTGTCGAGGTCGGCTCCGTTACAGGAAAGCCCGCAGTGGACGACAAAGGGGATCTTGTCTCGTTTACACCAGCGTACGTATGGCTTGAATTATCTGTCAACTTATCCATCTCGGACTCACATCTCCTACAGAAACTCTGTAACAGGCTTTGGACGGGTACGCGGTCGTAAAGTGTTCGTCACTGCAGACGATTTCAGCGTGCGAGGCGGGCATGCTGACGGGGGCATCGGAGTGAAGGCTCCATACGGAGAGGTCCGTATAGATGTCTTTTGAACCAGTCTTTTATGACTCTAATAAACTGGGTAGACATTAGCATTGAGATACAGGGTGCCCTTGGTTGGTATATGTGCAACAATTCCCAGAATACGAAATAATCACAGAGTATAGATCAGATTACTTGACGGTTCTAGCGGAGGAGGCAGCGTCGCGCTTTGTACGTATATTTTCGTATCTGTCTTCAACCCAGGAAACCCATCTGTGGATAGATCTTACCCTGGGAGCAACCTACATCCCAACCCTCGCCGGACTCGGCAGGAGCATGGACGCTATGGGTGTCGTTCCTGTCGTATCAGCTCTTCTCGGTCCAGTCGTCGGATTGGCCGCTGCCAAAGCCGCCATCGGGCACTTCAGCGTCATGGTAAAAGGGCTGAGCCAGCTCTTCGCCGCCGGCCCCCCTGTCGTCAAACAGGCAACCTTCGAAAACCTCTCCAAAGAAGCCCTGGGCGGGTGGGAGATTCACGCAACCAACGGAACAGTCGACAACGTCGCGACCTCCGAGCTGGACGCCTTCCTCCAAATTCGCGCGTTCCTCTCCTACCTACCCTCATCGATCTTTGAAATGCCACCCGTGTCGACTTCGAGCGACTCTCCTGACAGAAGAGAGGAAGGGCTTATCAGCATCATCCCGAGGAGGAGGGCACGCACATACGATATTCGGGTTTTGATAGACATGGTAGTGGACAAGGATGGGAACCCGTACTCTGAAAAGTCATCGTTCTTTGAGATCGGCGCCACCTGGGGACGCTCCATTGTTGCAGGTTTCGCGAGGTTGAATGGACGACCTGTTGGCATCCTCACAAGTGATTGCATGATGAACGGAGGTAAGCACCAGGAGCTAGGTGCATCGGAGTCCTGATTAGAATTTTGGATACACAGGTGCAATTGACGCCCTTGGAAGTCAGAAGACGGCCAAGTTCGTTACATTGTGCAATCACTTCGGGTATGCACTTTTTGCGAGCTATCTTCCGATAATCGAGCTGATCTTCCGTTCTGCTTCATAGCCTTCCGATTCTGAACCTCGTCGACCAGCCAGGTTTTGCCATTGGTGTGTTCACCTGCTCTTATTTTGGCATGATAAAACTGAGAGGTGCGTTCTGCAGGATCTATCGCCGAAAGAAATGCCACGATCAGACACGGCGCTTCCGCGATGGCGGCCCTCTACCAAGCGACAACGCCAATCTACACTGTTATCATTCGTCGAGCATTCGGAGTCGCTGGAGGTGCCTTCGCTGACCCGGATGATGGCTTCGGAAACCGTGTGGCTTGGTGCGTCCAAACCTGACATCCCGTCTTTCACCCATCTTCATGTCGCTGTACAGGCCTTCAGGCGATTGGGGCAGTCTTCCCCTGGAAGGAGGCATCGAAGCAGCGTACAAGCGGCAGCTAGACGCGACTAGCTCGCCCGAAGAGCGAGAGAAGTTGATGAACGAGCTCCTAGCCAAGTTCGAAGAAGTACGCAGCCCGCTGAAGACGGCGCACAAATTCGGCGTTGAAGAGATCATCGACCCCAGGGATACACGACCGCTGGCCTGCGAGGTGGGTGGCACTTTCGCTCCTTTTGGGTGACAATTAGTTAATGGTGGACTGGAACTTCAAAGTGGGTCGCCCATGTGTATCAGAACGTCCTACCACAGTTGTGTACCCACAAGCAGACTACCTACGGGGTCGACGGGCGGCCGTCGACTGCACGAGGATATCGACTGTGAATCTGATTTTACTTCTACGCTGCCGTATTTATCCCTGTATTTCGAGGAACGGAAGATCTTCAAGCGAAGTTGATAATGCAGCACCAGCGGTCGAAAGGAGTTTGCCCATTTCCATGTTTAGCTTGGTCACGAAGTTGCTGTGGCAAACGTTCCTTTGGGGTCAGCAGCGCGTTATTCAAAATGAGATGAGGTTGCCATTCCTACTGCCCAGCGCTACGCGTCACGCACTTTTCCTCTTCTTAACGATTTCCTTGACAATATTACCCCTCCTAGGTCCGAACAGCTTTATACTCTGGACCTCCATCCCTTTCCACCTAGCCCAGAACTCTTCCAACCTCTCTCCACCACTGAAATCTCGGTTGGCGACCGCATCCAGCCGAAGGACTCCACCCTCGACTCCAAGAGCCTCCTGTACTTTGTTCGAAATGTCAGGCATAAAAGGCTCCAAGCATCCAGCGACGACGCGCAAGGTCTCTAGTCCAACTACACGAGTTCCTAGAGCGAAATTCGCATGCCTCTTAACCTCCGCAACGTCATCCGACTTGGGTGTTGCCCAAGGGGCATTAGTCGTCAGAACCAAGTTCGCCTGCGACAGAACCTCAACGATGTGTTCTAGCGCCTTCCCTGCTTCAAAGTTGTTCATGCACGCGTGAAATTTGGACGGTAGGTCAAAGACGTCACGCAATAGCGCTGTGTTCGTATCCCAATTGTGTTCTTCCTTGGGTGTTTCGATGGGAGGGATATGGCGACCTTGGGCTGCAGCTGAGAGACATTCCTTTGGGTCTGGAGAGGCCTTTTCTACGATAGCGCGTAGGGCTTTGGAGGTGATCCGCAGGAAATAATTGCCGAGCAAGGACTGTATCTCATTGTGGTGCTTTTCGAGCTGTTCGGTGGACCAATCTGCGACGCGGTCGAATGAATAGAACGAAGCATAAAAAGTATGTCCTCACCAGCATCATCTCTCCACTTCCCGCCAACCCGCATCATATAATACCTGACTACATCGACGCCCCATTCGTCCATCACTTCGAGGGGGTCAGCAACGTTCCCGAGCGACTTGGACATCTTCTTCTGCCCAGAGGTCCAGTGAGCGTGGCTGAGCAATGTGTGGGCAAGCGGCATCGCAGGTGTCTGCGGAGCTGGAACCTGAGGCGATGCTGGAGAGTACGAGTGTGGTGTGGACAGGCCAAGGAGGATAGCAGGCAGATAGATTGCGTGGAACCGAAGTATGTCTTTCCCAATGACTTGCAGGTCTGCGGGCCAGAATGACTTGTCTGGGTACCCTGCCCCAGTTAGGTAGATGAGCAACGCGTCGAACCAGACATACACCGTCTGGCTCGGGTCGGCGGGCACCTGCACACCCCACTCGAGCCTCGACCTTGGACGCGATATTGAGATGTCCTCGAGCACGTCATCACCGAGCATGCGGAGGACGTCTTCGCGGTATTGAGAGGGTTGGACGCTTCGATGGTCCGTTATATAGTGTTTGCGGAGCGCGTCGCGGAAAGCTGAGAGTCGGAACATATAATTTTCCTCTGATGTCCACTCGACGACGGCACCCGTTTCGACAGAAACCTTCTGCGTTCCAGAGGGGTCGGTGGTGACTTGTGCGTCCGTATAGAAGCACTCGTCCGTTATGGAGTACCAACCCTCGTACTTTCCCTTGTAGATGAAGCCTTTTCCGTCGAGCCTTCGCTGGATTAACGTTGTAAAACTGAGGGCTCCGCTGCACAATAATTGAGGCGTACCCAAACATCCTCTACTGTCCTCCGATGTTCCTGGGAAGTCGTTCGCATAAAGCATGTATTACTGATATTTGCTTTCTCGCTTAAATCCTATCTGTTCGTGAGTTTTGCAGTACGAAACGACACAATCCTGACACACCCGGAACCTCTCACTTAACGCGTCGCAAAACTCCTTCTCCCTCCCTATCTGGCCAAAATGCACCCTTGCCGCTTTTTGGATCTTCATACCGTGTTCGTCCGTGCCTGCGAGGAACCTGACGTCGTTCGAGCCTCGTCTGAGTCGCTCATAACGCGCGAACACGTCGGCAGCGACCAAAGAATATAGATGACCGATGTGTGGAGCAGCATTTGGGTAAAATATCGGTGTTGTTATGTAGTATGGCTTGGCCGCAGAGGAACTGAGCGACAAGGAAGATATATTGCGCGTTCCATTGGGCCTGGATTTCAAGAAACGAAGGATTGAGCGATTGCAACCTCGCAAGCGCAGGTGGATCATGGAAGGACAAGTGTTGTACGGAAGTTCCCGTGCACTATACAGGGTGAAGCGGGCCGGGAATGCCATCGGTTCATCCTTACACGCTCAGTCCTTCCCAAGCTTGTTCAGAACACCGACAGGGCTGCGGCGCGAGCTGACCAGTGGTCTTAACGAACCAATACAACTGGCATCACTGCCATAACTTCAAGGAATGAAAACATCTCGGTGATTAAACTGAGAACGCCTGGTATGCCTGAACTCTGACTCGGAAGGTTGTTCAGAGCTGATATCGGAGCCTTCAATATTTCGATACCGATCTGTGGTGAAAAAATCTCGGAGCCAGTAATCTTTTTCGCCACTGCCTGAACTTCAGGCCCTTTCTCTTTCAACTTCCACCTCCATAAATCGAAGCTCCAGCTGGTTACAGTTCGCCGCGACCTTTATCGCAGGCCTTTATTTCGCACTCACGACGGAGCCTTCAAGCGATGTCCTATCTTCCTGACCGACAGAAATTCTTTTGAGTATTTTCTCTGAATGTTGTTCCCCCCACCACCCGATCATCGGGAAATGCGAACGGCCTGTGCACGGACATATCGTTGGTGCTCAGTGGAATGTGTCAAAAGTGGCTAGTGGCGGGGGATAGCATTGCATTCACCAGAGTTCTGGACCTACATACAGCATACAATTCCCTCAAAAACGCAGTATCGCGGAGTTTTCTTCCTCCTGCAACGATGTTTGCAATATTCAGTGAACCGACCGATATACATTTCGCTCTTCGGCGATCGTCCATTCTGGGACGCCAACGAAGCCTTAACAAAGATTTTGGAGACCATCGCCCATTAAATGCGTTGGAAGGCGATCGAATTACGCTTAGACAGCGGTTCACAGCGGTTTTTCGTGACGAGCGTCGGCACCGACCACATTGTCCCTGCTCTTCGCGGTACCGCTAGCCTGCACAAGTTGTTGTGGAAGCAGGCAACCTGGAGAGCGTCCCTGCTTGGACCTTTCGTGTGCTTTAAATTTGTTGCGCCACCCTTGCCTGATTAGGTCTGTTTCGTACACGGAGTTGTTCGACCACAAAGCTAGTGTCAACAATAAATTCAGAGCTCATGGATGTCTTGAGTTGCGTGGGAACGAGGTCGTCGCCAAAAGCCTCTATGAACACCCACCAGTCGCCTGTCGGTCGCTCCTACTAATGTTCGGCGAAGATGCAGTCCCTGTTTGGTCCCTGCAGCCTCACCAAGAGGAAGCACCGGAGGAACTTTTTGAGAAAAATATAGGTAGGCCATTCTAGCAGTCTCGAAGTTGCACGACTTTTTTATACCTATTCCCACTCTGCATGCCATCTGCTCTGGACCCTCTTCCATATTGCCAACCAGTAACAGATACGCATAGATGTCATATTCTGGATTTGTTTTGGATATGCTTAGACAGCGTGGTGAGGAACGACAGTAAGCAAGAGGGCTGGTGGCAAGCGGTTCGAACGGATAAGGGTGACGAATGAAATAGAAATTGAAGAAATAAAGACAAAAGAGTCGTCACAGGGGGATTAAGAATTTCGGCCATGTTAGATTACAAGTATACACAATGAAAAGAGACAGAATATCCGCAGGGCTCCGTATCCTTCCCTCCAAACGGGTATTATGACTGACGAAAGCTTTATTGACTGGTTGCGCCGTAATTGGGAGCCTGACCAGGCGCCTCGCTGTGGTACAGCGGTTGGTACGTGCCATTTCCAATGTCTGCGGACAACGGTATTAGGGTGTATCTTGCAATCGACATCGGCATGCGGCACTCACAGACAAATCCACCATTTCCGTAACGCTCTTCCGCCTGCATCTTGTTGTAGATAAGCCAGAAAGCGTGGAGTAGGCCGGGGACATAACCCAAGCTAGAAACCTCCAAGGTAAGAACTATTGTCATCGTAACGAGGGAGGTGCTGGACGCATGTACATGGTCAACAGGATGTTGATGAGCAAGTCGCAGCTACATCCTGTCACAATGGCACCTGCCGCGGGCGGGAAGATAATGGCAACCTGATGATTCGAACAGAAGTGTTAGCTCGGCGCTTTCTACCACTACTGGCACGAAACTCACGAGAATCAGAATAACATCTGAGGATTTGACCATTATGGACGTGTACACCAGAGGCGGTTAGAGAATAGGCGAGGGGTGGTGGTAGTTAGAAGACAAAGGCCTCGCGAGTGCACTGCGCACTGATGCTTGCCAGTGACAAACATCACGTAAGTGACTCGTGACATATTGGGCTCTGGCCCGTTGATGCCGCCCACCATCTGGCATCCACTGCTCGAGACACTCGAAGACTCTCGAAAACCTGGGCGATGGAGAACTACAAAGCAGATCTGGGTGAGCGCCGACCCTGTTTTTATCATGACCTTGGCCAATGACATAAAGGTATGTATTGCTCAAGTTCTGCGCGGCGGAGCCGGAATTACTATACCCTTTGCTGACCCTTTGCTGACCCATCGATATCTTTGAATGTACACGTCAATAGGAAAAACTTTGGATGCCATCTGACGCTCGTGGAGTGAAAGAGACTATGAATTTCAAATAGGAATTTTGAAGACCGAGGTAATGAATCCATTATGGCGTTGATGTACGGTCATTTCGGTGCTTGAGGACTACAAACCGCCACGATAGTTGCGGACATATCTGTCTTCTTCCATTCACCGTGACGTACGACGGAGCAGCTCCACGCATACATACGTTACGAATCGTAGATGTCCGCCCAGGAATGACGCTTTCGTCGACTGCGTAGGCGCACCTTCTCCCGAGTAAACCTACAACGTACGCCGCGACAGATCGCGGAATATGATATGATCAGAGAACATATTCCTGATTCCAAGGTCTAACGTACGATAGTAAGAGAAAGAAACATGACGGGAGCCAAGAGTGTTACAAAAGGTCCGAGATGAGAGAAGATACAGCATGTTTTGAAGGAATTAGGGAGCAGGGGGAGGTGCGGTGCCGGAACGTCTATGTAAAACAGTAACAGAAATGAATGCTGTACATATACATGGGATATTACAACGTACGAGTATTAAAGGGTATGATGGAAGGCAATGATAGCTTGTGCTGGTGATGCGTATTACAGGATATTTGTTTGGGAGAGAAGCTTGACGAGGATCAGGTCTTGTACTGGGTGCAGATAATTTTTTCAGATGAGTAAGAAATCCCATGGAAGAAGGGTTCAAGTGTTTCTTACTTCGATGAATTACAGAAGCGGTCGCCTTCGTGTCCTACAACAGGAAAAGGCGTTGTCAGGATTCAGGATGATAATAGAAATGTATAGGAGCTCACCACCGCGCATGTTAGGTGAGGATGCAGCTTTCGCCGCTTGGGTGAATACTGCTGATGCATGGACACGAAAACGTCGAGCAAATCTAAAATTAACAAAGTTCATTCAATTCATCCTAACAAAGAGGCAGATTAGAAAGACGACCACGTACACTTCGCAACGGGTTTAGTCTCGTTAGGTTTGTTGACGTATGATGTTACGAATGATGAGAACTGGATGCCCGACTTGAGTTTCGAATCCAGGATGTCGAGTTTGTTAAGGAATAACACAAATTCTATGTTCGAGAGGATTTTGTTGCTACATATCATTTGCCAGAGACGTATGGAGTCAGTCTGGTCGTTGGCAGACGCAATATTTTAGCACGATGGTAACTGGACAAAAAGAGTTGGGCTCACCAGTCGGTTTACACTTTCGTCTTCGGCAAGCACCTGGTTGAAACCCGACATAGGGGCTAGGAATATGATTATGTTGACGTCATCGAAAAACTGGGCCCACGTCGCTGTAGAGTTCGTCAATTGGATGAAACGCGCTCGATTTGCAGTTAGACTTGCCTCGTTGACCTTTGCTGCCACCAACGTCGTATATCGTCCAACGACGAGCATTGTCTGGTCCATTCTCTGCGATGATCTGATGTTCTTCGGGTCCAATAGTCGTGACGCGAGCTTTTAAAACATCCTCTGAAAGACGACGATCAGGTTGGCATGAATCGCTGCAAAGGAGGATTCGCACCAGGGCGAGGCTTGTAATCTTCGCTTGTAATCCGTTGCACCTGGTCTAGGAAACTAAAGGGATGGTCTGTTTAGTTACTGGAGACGGGAAAACTCCATGACTATGGTCGTACTCACAATCCTGGTTGCTCATCCAGCGCTATCTCCGCCGCTTTGAGGGTCTGTTGCACGACCGGGTCCCTCCATAGGGCAGCGATGTCGTCTCCTAGCGCCGCCAATATCCGTCGACTCTGCCCATCTTCTGACCTCTCGGCCGAGCTACGGGTTTTTTGCGACTCCTCGGATCGGCGCTTCAGCGACAGAGCCTGTTTCCACCCAGAACCCGAAGGGATCGAAACTTCAGGCGCCTTCGCTGGGTTGTACGCCTGATTGACGAGTCCAATAGGGTCGTCCAACGACCGCGGGGGCAGGCGCCCCGAGAGGATTTTGATTAGGTTCTCTTCGACCTGGCGTAAGGGGGCTAGTCGAATGCAGAGTTTGCGCAGGTCGGCGGTGAGTGGGCCGGAGTTGGAAGCTCGCCGTTCGTGGCCCAACAGCGCGTCGCGGATCCCTTGGTTCCGTGTCGAGATATAGTTTACAACGAAGTTTACCGACCGAACAAGATTTAGGTGGATGACTGGGCGCCAAACTTCTGCCTACAGTCGATTGAGCTAGAGTTTCTGCCGAGTTGAACGTGGGGGGCATACCTCAATCTCGAAGGCTTTCGGGGCGAAGTGCAGTTGGAAATTCTTCAGCACAGTCGACTTGCCTGACTCTGCTTGGCCTAAGAGAGGGACGAAATAACGTCAGGTCGCTGTTCGAGATCGTTGTCAATGTGAAACGCCAGGCAAGCTGAACGCACCTAGGAGGAGGATTTTGGCCCCAGACAACTTCTTCTGCTGACGATCTGTTTCAATTTGTCGATCTATAGCGTCGCTGACGCGCTTCGCCTCTGCCTCCTCTCGTGTCCGCGCCTTCCGTTCTTCCTCCGTCTCACCCTCCCGGATTGACGCCGGTGGCCAAGATGGCACTGAAGATGCTCTCCTAAGCATGTTGGGACGGGTGGTGTTGCCTCTGGCGAACCGTCAGGTGAAGGCACAGGGCTAAAAGGAAAGAAAAGATGGGTTAACAGAGACCCATCCATATATCCCCGTGGCCCAGCGAGTAGATATATGAAGTAGGTTCCTCGTATATCTGCTCGCCCAGATCAACGCCACTGGGGGGTCTGGTCAGCCCTGGATAGGGAAAGGTTTGGAAAGATCATCTCACAGATCCGGGCGCGTTGCATGAGACCACGGAACCATGGCAACATTCGGCTTGATTTCCTGAACTCGAGAAAGTTCTCCGGCTGCTAGCGGCTGCTGCATTGCTTCTGCCTTCTCCACCAATCATGACAATCATGAGTTCTTGTGCGTCGAGGTGTCAAAAGTGTCACTTCCCCACAACACCTGCACAACACCTCTGGTGGTAGCCGTCGACGAGTCCTCAACGGCATGACGGTAGACGAATATCAAGTTGGGGGCCAGAGCAGGATAATTTAGGAAGACCGTTGACCTTGTGAGCCTCATGACCAAGATGTACGTGCTTCTCTAGCTGCAGCAAGCCCGTCAAACTTTCGAGGCCGATTTGTAGCGTCTCCTCGTATTCCGGGGAACAAGTCGGTCGGCAATTATCGAGCTCGCTAAGGAGCATCCAATGGTGTGCAAGATTTTGTGTCGAAGTTTAGACCTTTTTTGACTCTTTCCCCATCAGCCACGCCAGGACGCCTCTATACCAACGCCTACCAACGCTGGGACTGGAAAACCATATATGCTTCGCTTGTACTACTTATGCCGACAGATTCTTAATTGCAAGACGTCCATGTGCTCACGGATTGGGCTTCTTCAAGGTGCTTTTGGACGCCTCCTGTCTTCATGATTGTCTCCACGCTCATATGTCAAATCTCAATTACAGTCAGATGATCCGTCCTTTCAGTACGTCTTTGAATTGTAGCCTGGAAGAAGCAACAACCTTCAAGGTGTTTCAGTGCAAAGTTTGATAGTCTAGCATCATTGTCGAGTGCTCCTACGTGGTACGTGAGTACGTACGCGAGTTAACGTCGCGTCGAGCTGATCTTCTGAAGAATTATACTGCTGCGGCCTGCCCACCATGATATGACACAGCTCATGGTACATAACGGCGATTCTTTCACTCCATTTCAAATTTCTGCAGCTGATTGAACATTTTTAAGGACGACGAACTCTAGCTGATTCACGCACAATGCCACGAATCCGAACCGGCTGTGCAATGTGGAGACGGTACACTCTCGTGGAGAAGATGCAATTGAATGCTGTCTGTAGCACCCCAGCGCCCAGCGGGTTAGCACGGCATTTCCGGTCATTGGGGCTTTTTTGCCTCAAAGTGCGGTTCCCTCTGGATTCTTCTTAGACCTCTTGCTATTGGCGGGACATTCGTAGCCTTGGCCCACGGCGGGACTTACGCTCGCACGCGTCATGATGACCGTGAATCACTTCTTGACGTACATATCATATCCAACAGTTTACTGGGTCTCGCTGTCTCTCTTTGATACTCGTTATCGCTGGCTGCATGAAACTGGACACCGACCCCCTCTGGTTCCTATCGCATGATACTGGGAGCCCTGAACGGCCCAACACCAGCCTGGACATCATCATCGCTGCCCTTGACATCCGACGTTCCCGGTTTCTCGAAAGTGCCGTGATGTCCACCCTTCCTGGGACACACCATCTCACAGGTATGAAACAGCTTCTCTTTCCTATCATTCCCAAACGTATGTACATAGCCAGACTTTACGAAGTTCTATCGCGTACACGCTTTCAAGCTACTCTAATTTGAAATTGCTGGATTTGGTCAGGCGTCCGAGCGACTGCCTTCTGGCCTCTACTGTGTGTTCTCAGTGCTAGCAACAGGACGGCAAGTAGCTGCAATTTAACGCTGTGCCGGTGGCACCCTCATCAATTCTTCAAAGCAGATAAATGATTGACGGGTCCTAGGTTCAATTGAGCAAGGTGGACAGCTCCAATTGCCTCCTTCGAATTCCATGTGTTCTAGTACTCTGCGAGGTGTCATTCACGATTCATTGGATAGTGTACAGAAAATGGGCCCCACGGACCAAGAAGCTTTGATTGCGTTTGTATGAACCAAATCTTCGATATCTAGTGATGGTTTAAAAGGCAGTCATACATCCACGATGCGTAGCGATGGAACTCCAGAATTGCAACCAGCACATCGAAGAATCTCAAGTCTCCTGGGACCTTGAATTAAGCAAGAGGTGGTCTCTTATTGATAGTACGCGGTCTTTGTGGGTTGATATATGAATACGGGCGATGCTGCTTCGTGTGTACGGATGAGGCCAAGGGAGTCGGCAGGTGGATGTATGGGACAATGGGTAGGGAAGGGGGCGGGAGCATGGAGTGTATGAGGAGCAATGCGGTGAGACCTACAAGATGGATATGTTAAACAAAGGATAACGGAGCGACACAATGGGAAAATGGAAGAGAAGAAAAATAGATGACAAGAAAAGAGAGGCACATGGACTGTGGATGATACTGAACATGGGAAGACAGAAGGCGAAACTCGAGACAGTGAGGATGTAATGGGAATGTAATGTATCTGTGTATGTAGACAACATGGGAAGTGCAAAACAGACGACTTCAGGAACTTGATAATAAGCAAAAAAAAACAGAAGTGACTAAGGGGCCAGGAAAAGAGACAGACAGGAATAACATAGGCCAACGATTTGACAAATAGAAAAGGGCGAAGAAGAGTTAATGGAAATACGTGGTGTTGCATTAGGTGGACGACATGTAGGAGCGAACCCAGGAAGGAAGATAGGAAAGAAACGGAGGCTTGGCCAGAGAATATCTGGAATGCGTCGGGGTTCGATTTGGAGCTAGCGCCGCTGCAACATACGAGGCACACAGGTACAAATCCAATCCAAGAATCGAGAAGGCAATTGCGATCTAAAGAGACCCGCGAAGAGGAGGATGGAGGTCGGCTGTCGATGACCTAGAGTCTGAGTCCGAGAAGTTCGGGAGGCGAGAGCGGAACAAGCATCTTCGAATGCTATTGTTGAAGAATGGATGTCTTTGAGCATGAATGGGGCAGGTAAACCAGCAGAAAGAAGGCAGCAGAGAGCAAGGTGAAGGCTAAGACAATCCTTCAGCTCTATTCATGCACCAGCTCAAGACGGTCTTTCGGGTGGCCAGGAGCCGCCTGTGTGACCCATCACGAACTCGACGTCGTCGTCTTCCTCTTCTGCAACCTGGTCGTGCTCGTATTCGGCGCCATGACCGTGCCCGTTCATAGCGGGCATACTCTGCCTGCTATCAGCCTTCGCGCCGCCGTCAGAAGGAGCAGATGCTTCCATTGGTACATCGCCATTCGGAGGCAACACATGCCTGTTTTGCTCTGCTTGCGGGTGCCCAGGAACTTGCTGGGGGTGCTCTCCGACATAGTACGGGCCAGGTTGTTGATAGGGGTATGGTTGCTCCTCGACTGTGCTCGGTGCAGCATCGGGCAGGACGAAGCTCTCCCATCCGCCCATGCGAACCATGTTCACATGCACCTGCACCATACTCGAAAGCGTCAACACGTCGCGAACGAGTTGTGCGTCTGTCGTCAGTTGCCTGACGCGATTGAACGATGCGAAGAGTTGGATAGGTATCCAACCCATGGCGTCCATCTGTTTGACGAAGACAAATCAGTTGCGGACTTGCTGTCGAAGGAAAAAGGAAAACATACCTGCTGCCGCAGGAAGAAATCCTGTGCCATGTTCTGCGGACTCAGATAGTACTCGAGTTGTCCAAGCAGATAAAACCTCGTTGGATCAAGCGGGAACGAGATAGGCGACAGAGGCACAGGCATGGGCGGGGCTTGTGGGTGTCCGCCCATTGGAGGCGGAGGCGGTGGCATCAATCCAGGCGACTGTTGACCATGCTGATGGGCGATGTGAGGTGGTAGTTGAGGCGGCGGTGGATACCCTTCGAAACCTGGTGGTAAAAATATTGTCCCAGGAAGCTGCTGCCTGGGCGGTGGGTAGTACCCGCCTGGTCCTGGTGCTCCATGCGGCATGGACGGAGGTGGTAGCCCGCCATCGAGCGGCAGGGGTTGGAAGTGTGGAGGTGGTGTAACCGTGAAGGGTGGTGTTCGCTGGGGTCCTCCGACGCCTGCCCCACGTGCGTTGTTGTATCCTCCTCGCCCATAACCTCGAGTAAAGCCATTCATCCCTCCACGCCCTCGTCGCCCTCCACGATCGTAGCCGCCTCGGGCATTACCCGGGAACCCTCTCCTCCCGCGCCCGCTTCCCAGATGGTCTCGCTGTTCTCGCAAATCCGGACCACGTACACCATTTGGTCCGGAACTACCTTCGACGACTTCCTTCCCACTATCTGCATCTGCAGAATCGTCTGAGGCAGCGAGAATCTGCTGCCTTTCCCTCTCGCGTTCGCGTTCTCTCTCTTGTTCCTGCTCCAAGTGCCTAGCGCGTCGGCTCTCCTTTTCCATCAGCGTGGCGTACCCCGTTCCGCTCGCGTCACCAAAGCCAAAGCCAAAGTCCTTCACTTCGAGATCAGGGTCAACCGTGGCTACCGCATGTTGGCTATGCTGGAGGGAAAGGGGCGGTTGCCCGGATAAAGGCACTGGGATGGGCGCTTGAAGCGGAGAGGGTTGAGAGACGATGAAGGATGTGCTGCCCACGGGCTCAAGCACATACGGCGCTTGTGCAGCAGGCACGGCAGGCACCGTTACTGCTTGTTGCAATTGATTTTCAGGAGGCAGTGGGATCTGTCCGTTAACAGGAGGCGTGCTGTTCGTGGTGCCAAACTTCCACTTCCTTTCTGTCGGTCTTGGTAGTTCCTCCTCCGCCTTCTCGTTGAGTCTTGATGCCCCGTCCCTCGTCTTGGATCGCAGGCGTGCAGGTATAGGTTCCTTCTTGTCAACCCCAATGGCGAACGTCGCGAACGCCTTTTCGACGACATCCTCCTCCTTCTGGCTGTTGGGGTCTAACGGCGCGGGACTTGGGGCATTGATGCTGCCGAAGACCATTTTTTCCCGGACGGTATTTGTGTTTGTCTCAGCTGAGGGGTTGTTGACCACCACATCGGGCAGAGAAGAGGACTCATTAATACTCGGAGGAGGACCACCATTGACTGACGGCCCAACATAGCCCTGCATCGGCAAAGGTGGGTACACAGGACTGTGTTGTCCAGATAATGACGGACTGTGCCCGTGCCACGGAACGTATGGAGGGGCGAATGATGGTCCTGGAGGAGCGTAATCATACGCACCAGGTCCATAGACCGGGTACGGCGAATAATGCGAATTCGGTGGCGGGTACATCGAGGGCGGTGGTGGATGAGGTGAGGTGCCATTCTGCGGGTAGAACACGGGCGCGGAGGGATGCAAAGGCGGTTGATGAGGCGGTTGATGTGCAGGTTGATAGGGCTGGTATTGAGGTTGCGGAGGAGGCGTGGGATGGTTGGGTGTCGTGGGCTGTTGCTCAGGCTCAGGAGCACTATTTATTGACGATGCTGGTTCGTCGGCGGGCGGTAAACGTCGACCGCGGGGAACCCTTGGGCTCGATTGGAGGCTCCCTGAGCGACTCTGCACACGTGAGTGCGTCGCAGAGTGCGATGCCGAGGTGCGGCCGGAGTGTGTTCGGGTGCGAGGGGGCGTACCACCTTGCGAGGGGTGAAGACTGTTCTTCCGCCTTTTGGAGGCCGCGTCAGCAGCGGCCTGCATCTCCTCCGCTGGAATAGGCACCCACTTCGGTTTCTCGCCACCTGGAGTACAGTTGAGCGAGTAAAGACATGATAATGGTGAAAACGTACTTTTCTTGGGTGTCCCATTGACGCTCCGCTCCGTGCTCGTTGACGTAGATATCGATTTCCCGACCTCCGGCCAATCCTCTTGCGGCGCTGGGCGCGCAAGGCGTTCGGGCATGCGAACGACGAACGGATCATCGTCCACAGGAGATCCCCTGCTCGATTTCCCACTCTTTGCTCCATTCACTGCCGTCGAAACGGGTTGACTGCTGGCCGACGTGGCCGGCTTTTGTACGAGGGCAGCCATCTGCTCTCTCCGCACCTGCCACACATTCTTCGAAGGCGATGATGCGTTGGCGGTGACGATGTTCAGGGCTTTGACAGCGAGGTCTGATGAAGAGATGAGGGAAGGCACCGCAGCGCTGTTGGCACCAGCTTGTGGTACCGGTGACGAAGAACGGGTTGTTAGGATAGAAGATGAGTTGGGAGTGTCGTCTGCGTTGCGAGAAGCCGAGATTAGAGGTGACGAGGTGGTGTTGAGGACTGCTGATGTACTGGGCACGTTGGCGGGTGCTACTGGGTTGGGTGTCGGATTGGATACGCGCTGTGGTGGTGGTGGGGCGGATATTGGCGATTTTATGTTCTGTGCTTTCTTTGCACGCTCCGCATATGAAAGGGGCGGAGGTTTTGCAACTGCAGGGGCGACCATGACGCTGGAAAAGATGGACGCAAAATGCGCCAGATGGTACGGATGGCAGTGATAAAGATGCGCGCCAACTCCTCCCACAATGTCGGTGCCGTTATCGACGTTCGCGGTCGTCGTTCGTGGGGGAGATGGTGGTGGTAGGGTGAAAAGAAGTAAATTGGGGGCCGATTTCCATGTCGCGTATTACTTTCCCACGGCAATGAACGAAATCGAAATACAAGTTAGTTTCAAGTTAGTCTACAAATGTATGGATGCTACTCTGTCAATTCTTCTCTTAAAATACTCCTTGTTTCTTGTAGGGCTTTCCCCAATAAATTGAGACCCCAACGGTCTTTCTGATTTAGGGCATTTTTCTCTCCAAAGCCCACGCCCCATATCCTGTCGCGAGGGCTGGCCTCAACAATCACCTTCTCCCCCGTACCCAATAACCTCGCTTTAAGTTCTTCATTTTGCCGGAACTTGTGAATATTTCCTTCAAGTACGATCCTTTCTCTCTCCTCCACCCACAAGTCTTCAATGAAGCCAGAGACTCTGCGTCCAAGAGACTTGACGTGGGCCATGTCGGTTGATCCAATCCCTTTCACACCAATAATCTCCCGAGCTATCTCTGCATCCTTAAACAACAGCGCCTTTTGAAACATCATCCAATGCTCTGCGGTCGGGAACGTCACTTCTTCAGGTTCACCGCCTTCGTCAATAGTGACTGTCACTGTGAAGGGCGAGCGATACCTATGAACCCCATCCACTGCCGAATGTGTCGCTTTTCAGTTCATGATGCAATGTGAAGGGGGAAACGCTTACTGGATTTCATGGGGTTTCCAGAAGAAGACGTAGTCGTCCCGGTTGTACATTGCGAGATGTTCAGATAAAGGGTGAAATTAATGTTTCAGAGGAATCCAAGTCTTGGAGGTTAAAACCCGAGACGAGATGATGGGTGAGCAAATCCAACATGGGCGAAAGAACTTCGCTTTAATTCCGTCATGGACTTTGTCCTGTAGTCGAGTCAGCTTTGACTCTATCCGGTGCCTCAGCCCTCAGTCATGCTAATCATCGGCACGAGACCGCAGAGCACTGCCTCGGGCCAATTAGGAATTGCATAGTGAGCTGAATGTCGTGTTTTGTGGCCCGCGAGAGACGTCCTACATATGATCCGTCAGTGGGCTTTCATTTTGGCTAGTGACCGCTTCATACGGCACCGTACAGAATAGTCACATTGACGAGTGCGCGCTAGAGCGATAAGCGCTGAACAAGCGCACTAAATCAGTATCTAATTCGAATCTTCCCATCAAAGATGCTTGACGTAGCAAAGAACGCTAAGTTGGGGTGGGTCAGAAATCGGTCGCACGATGCAACTTCAAGGGGAAGGGGGTAGTACAGGAGGAAAGGAACCTACCGATATAGCAAATAAATAGCTACTCGGTAGGCAACTATACAGCGGAGTTTCGAAGCGTATGACGGCCGCGGAAAGGATGCCACCTACAATCGGGGACTGAACAAGGAGTAGATATTTCTACAGTTTGGCTGGCACCCGGCGGGTCCAGGCGCATGGGGTGCGGGGAATGTAACACTCAGAGGGTGAGAGAGGCGAGGCGAGAGAGAAGAAGAGAGGCGCTTTACATAAACGAGGGAAGTGCCCGCTCTTTATGTAGTCTAGAGTAAATTGGTTGCGGTCGATGACATAAACGGATGCCCTGACTCTGAGACGCTCTTGTTTTGGGAACAGCCTTCTTTGGCAGCCTGGTTCCTCAATTAGGAGATCCTGTGGGTCTGTCCCCTGACGCCTGAAACAAACCCGACAGAGACTGTTAATCACAGAGACATGAGGTGCGCTCAACTCACAACCATCGTGCCAGAAATAGATTTGTCTTGAGGTATGACAAAGGAAAGGTACTCTGACAAACTTTACAGGCGTGAAATCTGCGCGGCAGAGAACCCTTCGGATATCAATATATCAGGGTTGAGGGGACTACAGAGCTATAAGTGCAGCTATAAGTGCCGTTGAATTGCCGTCAGCCATGATCCCAGTACCGTCGAGATTGTCACAACCCTCGAGCAAGAACCATGGACTTCACCATGATGGACCGTTGAAGGTAGTGTTCTTTCTTCTCAGGTCTTTCAGCTCTTTCCGTTCCAGAATTTTCTTCTCTGCAATCCAAATTTTCTTGGAATTCAAATCACCATAGGTTGGAATTTCGTTGCACGTGCAACTTGAAGCTTGAAGCCCAGTGAAAAGTCCGTCGAGAGGAATCGAGTGTGATCGAAGTGAGGTTTGATGAATCGAGTCGAATCAAGGCTGGTCGAGCGAGGAGCAAAATTTGATGGAAATTTGATGGGCGTTGGATACAAGTAGTTGTGAGACCTAATTGAATCGAGAGAAATTGAGGGAGATCGCAAGCTGAATGTCTTCGTCTAAGATGCTTAAGCTGTAAGTGCCTTGGTCTTGCTTACATAAATTGATGAACTTGACTACGTTGGACTTGGGGGATTTCAACTTACTTTCAACCACAACGACGATATGCGCACCGCTTCTTCCCTCCGAGTCCCCCTCTCCTTCCGTGCTCTTTGTCGTGACATAGCATCGAAGCCCTCTGTACGTCTTTTCATGCCTAATACCCACTCCTGGTCATCCCATCTGCCCTTTCTCCTGTAGACAGGCTTCATCACGGTCTATTTCGCCGTAGCCCATCCACATTCACATTTCCAATTGCCGAAGGGGATGTCGATTCGTGAAGATCACTTTGGTCAGTAGATTGGCCTCGGATCTGCTCAGCATGGTTGCTCATCGTATCAATATTATCCATGCAACGCGTCGTCCGAGCACCCATCGTCCGAGCACCCACCTTGTTGTTCATCAAATCTATTTTCGAAAGAGAGGGCAGGGGAGAGAAAATGTTTTGCAAAATGGAAGGTATGTCTTGATTCTTACACTACTCCTAGTTGTATGCTCCAGGTGCTGGTGACATTGACAGTGCAAACCGTGGGTGCCAACGTCGCAGTTCCGGTGATGCAATGGTGAACGAGGCTGGGCAAAAGGAGAGGTGGTAAGCAAACCACCAACTAACGAGTCTGGAGATAAATTGCTCACCTCTATCCGAGTCTAGAGCCTGCACAACAAACCCGCCACACAAAAAGCTGAGTCCCTACTCCGCGGCGAAACTCCAAAGGAACAAGACGTACTCCCATATGCAACACACAGCACGCGGCCTGGCGCCACTGTCGCGAGGCGACACCAAACATACACCACGATACCACGATAGGGCTTGCCGTCAAAGACGACCGTGAGCACCTGCAAACGATGGTGCGAGCAAGGATGGTGCGTTCCCCCGATGTTTGTCTTACTGTGTTGCTAACGCTTGTCGCAGCCGCCCGTCTGCCAGGGTGCGAATGTCTACCCGACCCAGGATGGGTCATTCTGAAAGGTATTGATGACAATGTAACGGTGTCTCTCGCTCATCCTCCCCCTTCCCCGTCCTTTCGCTCGACGCCATGTGCCCGTTACGGTACGAGAATGTGAGGGAGCGGCGGAGGCTATCACGTCTATATAGAACCACACACTCCGCCATGTATATTATTACTACGAGATTCTAATGAATACATATATACATATAACCATTCTCTGTGTACAAGCTGGAATGAGGGATATCAAGAGAAATTGAATGCCTGGACAAGCGGGTAGCATAATTTTGCGGCACTTTGATGGCTCGTATGGGCTTCGAGCTGACTCGATCTGTCTCGATGATGGGTTCACATTTTCGAGAGAGCTCAAGTCTGACCGAAGCTCCTTGATTCTCTGGATTTCTCTTGATCCCTCTCGACGGACTTTTCACTGGGCTTGAAGCCCCGTTCGGCATTCGTAGAAAAGAAATTACAGAAAAGTAACTTAAAAATTGTTCCCAGTAGCCTATAAGTTCCCCTGTGGGTACTATCTTGGCATCTGTGAAGTAGACCCGTACTTCGGCGGAACTTCAGCGTTTCAACCCTCGAAAGTGTGGTCAAGCGCCGACATTTCCGTTTTCAGCACCTGACTTGGTCGCATCGGTGTCCAAACAATCGTCAACAGCGGTTTGCCCTTCCTCCGTTCCAAGTCTCAAAAGCTCGGTGACCGTTCTCTGCTCGACTTGCGTGCCCGATGGCCTCACCACCACCGAAATCTGCGAAAAGAAAATGGGACCAACCGGCACCAGGAGAAGAGAGCGCAACGCCGTCAAAAGTTGCGAAAACGGACGAAGGCAAATCCGCGTCAGAGGCAGCGGCAGCAGCTGCTGCCATTGCTGCCAAAATTGCTGCGCAGTTTGCGAACGGGACTCTTGGAGGAGATCACGAAGAGTTTACGAAGGACATCGACATCAACGATGTGAGGAACCGTTACCTTCTGACGAAAGGATCGACACAGGAACAGGTACGATTCGCGTACGTTCGAGATTTCGGGAGCTTGCTGAAGACTGGATGATTTTTTAAAACAGATTCATGACGAAACAGGCGCCTCAGTTGGTACGAGAGGTGTATGGTATCCCGACCGGTCCAAGGCCACGGAGAAGGATCCTCCGTTGTACATTCACATTTCAGCGAAGACCAAAGAAGCGTTGGACAAGGCAGTAGCCAAAATCCATGAGCTGATTGCCCTGGACATGGGATCTCTGGTGGAGAAAGGAGACAAGACGAGGGAACGGGTACGTTTGTACAACGCTGGCTCCCTAATTTCTCCTGACGAATACGATTCCACAGCGCAAATGGCCAGAAGAGAAGCTTCCGGTTGGATTGGAGTCAATAAGGAATTTCAATATCCGCGCGAAGGTTGTTGGTCCATCGGTATGTTCTAGAGCAACCAATGATCGTCAGTGCTTCATACAGCTTTTGAATAGGGTTCATTCGTGAAATACATTCAGTCGGAAACAAGTACAAGGGTGCAAATAAAAGGAATTGGATCAGGTTTCATTGACCAGGAGGTGCGTATTTCTAACTCATTTCTTCATCTCGCCTCACAACATACTCTAGACTGGGCAAGAAGAACCTGTGCCATTGTACATCCACATCACGGGCCCCGAGGAAGGCCAAGTTGCGCGGGCGAAGGTCTTGACGGAGGATCTCCTGCTCGTCGTCCGACAAGAACACGCTAAGATGCAGGTCGTCGTTCACCAGCAACAAATGGAGCTCCATCAAGCCCAAGCTCAGTATGCTGCCTATAGCGCTATGGGTGTACGTCTGCAAAACGCTCTCGAAATTGATTTAAGTCTGATCTTCTTTCCAGAGCTATGCACCACCACCTCCGTCTGCTCCTGCTCCACCCCCGCCTCCAGGAGAAGGTCCGCCCCAAGCACCTGCTGGGACACCAGCTGGAGATGCAGCAGCAGCACAATACGCCGCAGGCCCACCTGCACCATCGGACACCGAAGCATACTCAGCTTACTGGTGAGTTACACATTTATTAGAACGAAGTCTGTGTGCTGACCCTTTCTCAGGGCTGCGTATGGCTACGACGTCAACTCGCCTGAATTCAAGGAATGGCAGGCGAGCCAACAGCAACAATATGCGCAATATTACTCCCAATATGCAAATGCTGTCCAGCCTTCCGAGCCCGCTCCCCCTCCGCCCCCGTCTTGATACCCTTAGTCACACGCAATGAAGCAGAGGCAGGAATGCAGAACATGCATGGATATCTCTTTGCTCTCGTTCTTATCTTTTGGTCACAATATTGTCTGAGCGGTGCTTTAATATATTAGTACTCTGTAGCATAATTTTTCTGCTCGAAAGGAGATATAATGTGCGAATACCAACTTCACCGAAGCTAAGTTAAGTGGATCCCTTCCTCCGAGCACCTAACAGGAGGTGGCTGTACAACATTTCCTCCCATCGACCATCATGTTCAAGTTCGACTTCGACATTGAAGATGCCGAGGATCTCGATGTGGTGAATTCCAACGTCCCAAACAGGAAAGAAAAGGACTCCAGCGACGTGTCGGTTACGCTAGAGTCATTTGCAGAAGTCCCAATCGTCCAACTTGTTCGTGATTTTTGTCTGCTGTTATCCTGATTCCTTTTCTAATTGGTTGCTTGCTGACCTGCTCGGCCTGTGGTTCAGCTAGATATCTTACCTTCTCTGATCTCGTATTCGCCACTTCGAATACCTCTTGCATCGTCTCGCGAGGAGCTCACGCTTTTGCGCCGCGATCTGTTCGATGCGCGCTTCCAGCTAATATCAGAAGGCGTTGGGGATGCCGTTAATGCCAGCCAGATCCTTTCAGAAGAGCCTCCAATAAGCTCTCAGCTCCTGAGGGACAGAAAAGCTCTTGACTTCTTGGATGCCCCTTCCGATCTCGTCCCGGGTGTTTATGAAGGGGGACTGAAGACTTGGGAGTGCAGCCTTGATCTGGTGGACTATCTTGACACCTTGAAGGATGTACTTGGCTACGAAGGGTTTGAAGGAAAGAAGGTCTTAGAGGTGAGCCGCTGTCGTGATTTCTCGAAGTTCCGCGTCCGCTGTTGAACTACCGATGATTAGCTTGGTTGCGGAACTGGTGTACCGTCCCTCTACATCCTTTACGAACTGCTGTCAGCCGTGTCGACCTCGAGTGCATCGAAAAAGACTGAAATACATCTACAAGATTACAACCAATCAGTCCTCCAGCTTGTAACGCTCCCGAACCTTCTTCTAACCTGGTGTGCGTTCTCTCGAAAGCAAAACTCGACGAGAAAGTCTTCTAACCCCGGCATATCTAGATGCCTCTCCTCTAGCTGACGACTACCGCGCCTCTATCAACGATCCTGAAATCGCGCCTCTTCTAGACCCAGTCGTGCCTAGCGAGTTGCCGATTACGCCAGAACTCAAAGCTGCGTTCTTGTCCTCACTCAGCAAGTCAAAAATTGCGATCCGCCTTTTTTCTGGGTCTTGGGACACCTTCGATCCCCTGAAGACGATTGGCACGGACTCATACAACATCCTCCTAACGTCTGAGACGATCTACTGCACGGATAGTCTGCTCCCTCTAGTGAATCTCATGCGAGCAGCGGTTGGGATGGGTACCCAGGCATTGGATCGTGAGGACGTTGCGTCATCGAAAAGGCCAAACAAAGAGACCCGCAGCTATCTCTGCCTCGTAGCAGCTAAAGTGTTATATTTTGGAGTGGGTGGTGGAATTCCCGACTTTTTGGAGACTCTTAGAAAAGTCAATGCCGATGTGGAAACAGTCTTGGAGCGTACAGTCGGCGTTGGGAGAAAAACCATGCGGGTACGATGGTAGTGAATCAACTACATACCTGGGCCTGAAAAGGCATCCTATGAATGTGCATTTCTCACTCGAAAGAAAACTCGTGATCTTGCTCATACCCGAACACAAAATGAGGATTCTGGAAAGTTTGACATGTCTTATTCGACTAAAAAGATGGACACATTGGGAATTGAACCCAACACCTCTCGCAAACCATAGAGCATGCTAAGCGAGCGTGATAACCAACTACACCATGTGCCCAGTTGCGAAACATTACTCATGGCCATCCACCACCGCAGGGTCTTGAGCTACTACCGATTTACCTGTCCAAAAACCACTACTACGTTTCATATGCAGTGTTCTTGAAATACTGTCATGATTTGTCTAATGGGCGGAGTATTTTTCCTGGAAGCAGTGAGCAAGGTTGCGGATAAAGGGGAATGGCGAGGTTTACTTACTCTCATGTTTCTTCCTTTCCATTGTAACAGCGGAACGAGGAGAATAAAAAGACCGATGACAATCCTGAGGCGCAACGTCAGCCTTCAACCGGAGTAAACGCGCTCGAGTGCCACTCACGCCGCCTCGCAGCCGAAAGTTTGAATAGCGCCGTTCTTAGTCGCCCAGGGAACTTGGAAATAAGCCACGCTGAAGCCTGATCAAACAGTTAGGACGGCGACTCCATAGCTGGTCAGTCATTTCGCTCACCCCCCAGTGTTCGTGCGAGGTTGATCAAAGCACTAATTTCTCCCTGAAGTAGGCACATGCTCAGAGACTGCAGATACCTGCTTGATTGAAGAAGGCACACCTGGTGTTTGGGGAACGCGTCGTTGCAGTACGCGTAAATTGCGACCGTATTAATCATAACGGCTAGTTCTGCGATGCCCCAACCCATGATCAGAGCACCGACGCTAAGGTGTTTCTGGAAGGCAGCCCCCAGAGTCACGAAGCCGCAAATGTAAAGTGGCATCGCGATGTAACAGGCCCTAGTTGTCAACGCCAGGTTATTCTTCGTGTCTGCAGCTCTGAAGGGAGGTGTGACGCACCAGAGGCGACTTTCGGCCTCGAACACGCCCTTATTCCGTCGAATGCTGACGTTCATGATAAAATCATTAGCGTACCGGCCGACGAGCTCTCCGATGAGGACTGATACCTGCCCTCATGTAAATCAAAGAAGTAACAGACGACACAGACAATTCGTACAATGGGAGTGGCATATCCTCCTGCAATCGCGAATTGACTGAATTGATAACCACCCATGCTAATAGGTAGTTCGAGAAAAACGGCGTTGGTAACCTAGTTTCACTCTTGAGTTTCAAGGAACAGAAAGTAACGAAAGGAAGAGTCGTACGTTGATCCCGATCGAGAAACCGAAAACCATAGCCTAGAGGAAGATTAAGCGACTCGTATTAGACTGAATCAGGGGCTTACCTCAAATAGTAAAACCATGAACAAATGTGGTCGCCATACTAAGTAGATGGGGCTCCAGACGGACTCCGTCCAAGATACACGATACTTTTGCATTCTCACTCCGGTTATCCCAATGAGCGTCTCGATCCTATATCTGAGGCCTGTCGTAGCTGGTTCTGGGATAGGCTTAACGGTCCGATCATAAATACTGTTAATTCACCAAATTAGTGTTGTTCAAGAACATTAAGGGTCTAGGAGTCTCACGTTTCTTCCCCGTAAAACATAATCAACAATACTACTATTGCAGAGTAAATTGAGCCGATGCCGTAAGCCCACCTCCAACTAGCTCGAGCAACAAGGAAGCCGAAGGCGAAAGGCGACAAGAACGGCGAGACAATGAAGCCCATCGTCCAGATATTCAGCTGCAATGAGACGTTGTCAGGTCGATGGTCGGATCCATGAGTACGCTGCGATGAAGTACCTTCCTGGCTTGGAGGTGGAATGGGTACATATCTGTAACGACATAGAGACCCTGGGACGAACGTGGATTGCCAACGGGCCGAGATAGACGAGTAAAGAAGGGCTCACGGTAACTTGTGGTGCAGTGCTAATCGAGGATAAGTCATAAATAAAGTCTATTACGTTGGTCATGGAAGAAATTCCCTACCCGAAAAAAGCAGTCAAGCACCGCATAGCTGCAGTTCTGTCAGTCTATAAGTTCACCAGAGAAGTCAAAGCACGTACCAGTGAAAGTATTCAAATTTGGAGCAAAGGTGCATCCGACAAGAAAACCAAGAGAGAGCAGCTAGATGAAACATGAACAGAATGCACGAAATGGAGGGTGCTCAGAGGGCGTACTTGAGTCCAGAACAAAACAGGCAGCCGACCAAGTCGCCTCATCAGCATCACCGCGAAGAGACCACCCCAGCCTATTTTTAGATCGGGTCAGAACCCATGAAGAAACTGCGAGACGTCGCTGGGAGATGCCATACCTAGAAGGAAGATGCTCCAGCTAGATAACCATTCCATGAGCGCGCCATTGAATTGGATTGGACACATGGAGCAGTGCAGGTGACTCACTTTGAGGTCAGGTTGTTGATCACACCGGGCGTAGTGTCGTACTGTCTTGCGAGAGCAAAAATGGCCGCAATACCTGCGAAACGCACACACGGTGACCACGGAAGGAGTCATCAGTAAATTGTTAAGACAAAAACATCACGGGAGAGATGGATGACTGACTCACCGATTCCTGAGTCGAAGTCGGGTACGATGGCGGCGAGGGTGATGATGAAGAGCTGCAAGTTCTTGCGCCTATCGCTCCAGTTCTGTGGGTCTCGGTCTGAGTCCGCGGGCTGAGGCCAGAGAATTTTCGTGCCGTCCGTGGTGAGCTTCAAACGCCCCGCGACGGCTCCGCCGAGCTCGATCTTCGCCTCTCTGCAGGCGTTTCAATTAGTTACTGTAGAATTCACGAGCGAGAAGCAGGGCATACGCAGGGTCGATGATAAGACGACCAGCATGCAACTCGTGGAGGGAATACAAATTGATCTCGGACGAGGCATCATCAGCGGCGCTGACGGTTGAGTCAACCTCCCTGTGGACCTTCTCTGTGGAAGAGTCCATCCCTGGTGCCAGGGGAGGCGCCTGAGATTTCTCTGTGGTGGACATGTTGCAGACTCGAGGGTGGGACGGATGTTGGCAAGGTGAGCCCACTATAAATACAGATGAGCGTCGGTTCTAGTAGTCTGTATTAAGGTTGGAGGATAAAGCCCCAAAGGGTTAGTGGGAAGAACATTCTAAGGGGTTGTCAGTTCGGAGCACATCACAGGCAAAAGATTCACAGGGTGGCGTAGTCGGACAGATATAAGGTGCGGTTGTACAGTTCGGCGAGCTTTTGGCTTTTCATGTCAGTTGCACAACGCCTGAACGTGGAACTGGTTAGTCTTAGTAAGGAAGGTGGAACAATTTTCACTATTGGTTCGGTCATATGTTCAGTCGTTTCCTGGAAGTAGCTGCTAGTACAACGGGGCCATGATTCTCAGAGAAACTAACACGGGAGGAAAAGAAGCCTTAGGGCTTCCGCATTTCCTTGATGATAGAGAGAACGTGAGACTGTTTGAACGCAAACAAAAATCTGATATACGTACATGTGGGATTTCTACTGGAAGAATGACAAAGGTATTCGGACTACGCTTAGAAGGCGTTCGTAGTCTCCGTTGAATGGGGATACCAACACTGATTGCTGCCTTGGGCTGCTCGAATTGTTTGCGGTGCTGAACCTGATCGCACTCCTATTCTGCAGGAATTCGAGCATGGCGGATGACTCGCACGGATGTCCCATGGCCTGAGAAGAATGGTTGAAATATTTAGCAGTGAACCCTGCTTTCACAAGTGCCAGTGAGAACCTCGCGCAGCTGGTGGGCGACTTCTTGTATTCCGAGTGTGGTCCTCATGCTCGAAGAAGTGGCTGCTGGTATCGTGCCGGGAAGCAGACGGAAAGCCACGTTCGAAATGTCACACGCAGTGCTGAGGCAGAGTCAAGGGATAAGGTTGGACCTGACTTACAAGACCACTATGAATCGACGACAAGGGTGAAAGTGGCCGACCCCTGTCCTTTTAGTGAATAGGCAGAACAGCCTTCCCGCCAACGACCCACAAGCCTTCAACATGGTTAGAGCAGATCACCAACCACAGTGCTGGAATCTATCGACTGTTAGCCCTTAACAATCAACGTTTGACTGTCGGAACAACCACCGAAAGATATGTCCCGGAACCCAGCCCAGGACAGGCGGAATTGAGGTTCTGGACCATTCCGTAAAGGAGCGTCTTCCTATAAACCTTGAGCGAGTTGATACTCCAAGTCGCGTTCTGAACGATGGCAAACCCTGGTCAAGAAGGTGAAGGAATCAAGAATTACTATGACACTCACGACAAAGTTGGTAGGGTCCATTAACCTTTCGTCACACGTGCCCGGACACCCTGAGGTCGCGTACGAGTTTCCAGCCCAGTCACCTTATGCAAATCAGTTTGATAAAATCAACAACAAAGTCAGGGTTAAGCTCACCGCAAAACGTGATATCTACCAATGATTGACATTGACAACGACGTAAGTAACGGGCTATTGGAAGGGAAAACCTACACACCGAAGATGATAGCATGATTCTTGAAGAATCTTGGTATATCGCACATGGAACTCGACAGGACTGCAGAAGGCAATCCCCACTCGGAGGGATTAGGTGTGCCTTCTCCTATGTCTTTTGGGACGGCTGCTCGGAAGAACGACCCTGGGGTAGGTAAACCGTGTTAATCGCGCCGTGGACCCAGCCATTGGTATCAACTGGAGAACTCACAAACGGCGATACTGTTCTCGTCCCATTTCATAACGAACACTCCTCCACCCTGTTCATCGAACAGAAGGCCATAAGATGCTCTACTCCATTCAGTAGCACCGCAACCCGCGTTGTGGTTTATAAACGAATTACAGTCTCGGTGCTGGTATCCTCCGCCATCCTAGGAACGAGGTCGGGTTAGCAGTCCGACAACGAAGGTGCCGAAAACCCAGGACGCACAGCAATATTACCAGTGAAGTTCGCACTTGGGTCAAGTTGGCATCCTGGGGCCGTATGCCAAGCGACTTGGTTGTGTTGGTTATCGTGAACACCCTCTATAACGTCGATTTCCCCATTCTAAAGACTGAGCTGAGTCCATGTTTGTTGTTAACGGTAGGGAGGAAAACGCACCCATGGCCAATCGTTACCAACAGTCCAAAATGCGGGCCATGTACCTGCGAAGGTGAACGTTGAACGTTGAGTAAGTGTGCTTCCGAGGTTCTGGCTGACGCGCGCCACATACCGCAACCCCAAGGCGCCTTGTTCAAGTCGAGAATAAACAATCCTCCGTTAAATCTAGCATAACTCTCTATACGAGGGCTAACGAAAATCGCCGTTAGACCCAAAGACAACGGGCGCCCTGCCAAAATTTAACAAGTTTGACCGGTCTGCCTATGACCAATGAAAAATACAGGCTCAGAACCGTTGGTCGCCTGGGAGAGAGCAATCGGTAATGCCGGGTTCTCGCTCAGGAAGCCATAGCCTGGATGCAAGTGCGTCGACTGGGTTTGTATGGCAGCATTGACGATGCTTTCGACGTTCATGAAGTCGGAGACGCTGTTGAGTTTGACTGCTTCGTCCGCGAAACCTGCATGGCTAGCGTCGTCCTCCGAGTAGACAGCGACGGTATCCCACCCTAATTCTCTTGCAGAACGCAGAATGCGAATGGCAACTAGACGCAACTCTGTGTCAACTTCAAGTCCAGCAAGATGTTCAGATGAAAAGGCTCACTTTCACCGCGGTTTGCAACCAAGACCTTGGGCATTCTCGAAATTATCCCAGATGTCTGGGTGGTGAGAGCGGGTCTGTTGAGTTTTTCCATTGCGGGGGTGGGGTCAGGACTGGTCAGGAGAATCAACGAGATCAGACGAGATTATAGCCCGCGCATCACATGATCAACGCGTGCACTCGTTCCCAGGATAGCAGACCTCACCCCAGCTCAACTTACATGAAAGGACTTCGGGGAGCTGGCCAAAGACGCTCAGTCCTTTGACCGCACCGCTCATCTATCCAACACGCTCGAACTCGAAATTCTCCTTGCCACTGCCATCCTAGGTACTACATCTGTCCCATTCTCTGTCTGGTGACCATGCCATTCCAAACGGATGAGACTTGGCCCGCTGGCCTTCACATCATTTTCAACCATGCTCGCGCCAAGCGCACTACATTCGAAAATCGTTACTATGGTCCCTACGACAAACTCCTGAACTACTGCTTTGGAGAGTCCTTCGCCTTCTACGTCGCTCCGCAGAATCCTCCCAGGGACGATAGCCGGCGTGACCCCGTCGACTTCATCGTCTTCCTGGTCGTATTCGACAACGACGACAAGCCTGTCCTGATCGTCGACGTTAAGGATGACGGTTGGAAGGAGAAGGCTGAATTACGCTATCGCGCAGACGAACAAATGCGCGGTAGGTACGCATTGATGCTGGACGACTGTCCTCTCCCTCGTCTATGGGGCATCAGCCTTCTCGGCACTTCCGCACGCGTCTACTGTGGTGACACCGCCACGTATCAGGTGCAACCTCCCCCCATCGTGCGCCCCGACCCTTCGCGTGTTCTTTTGCCAACCTTTTTAGCTGGGGAGTGGGACATGGACATCATGACGGAGGAGGGATTTGAGAAGATGAAGGAAATCGTGACTGATATCCTAGCTCATGCCGGCAATTAGCTATTGTTTTGTGTCTGACTTCCACCATATACCTCTTTAACAGTTTCCTTGATGATTTAAAAGGGGTGGTCAAGCGGACAAGCCATGGCTCTCGCTCTAAAGAGGCGTGATGACCATGTGTGTGGCAGGATACGAACGGATACGCCACGGAAGTATTAGCATAAGTATGTAAATGGGATACGCACGGACCGCTGTTAATTACTTTGGCTGTGGAATGCCTTGCATGAGGTGCCATGGCACTCGTAACGCTAGAAGCATTCTACTCAATTGCCAGAGGTTATAAAGTAGCCTCGTATCAGAAGTGCGGTCCAGTTCAGCCTCCCCGTCCTCCACGTCATGAAATCTCTTCTATATCTGACTCTGCTTCTGTTTAATTCTAATTCGCTCCTTGTATATTCCGCGCCATCTCCAGCTTCTCCGTTTCAGCCGAAAGAGTCCGTGCTTCCGCCCCAAGGGTGGATTAGAGGAGGCAAAGCTCCTCCTCATCACAATGTTCTCTCCGGATTGGATTGCCACAATCAAACTTCAGCACCCTCGAGAGTAGGAGAAAGGTCAAGCCGTCATCGTTTCACAGTCTCTGGAGTCAGAGTTGGTGACTGACTGCCGCAATCGCTGTGCCACCATCGAAGCTCAACAAATCCAATAAAAAGGCCCCTGTCCAGGCGCTCCCTCGCGTCAAGCTTCTTCAGCTGTACATCTCAGGTTTTGGGCTGAATGCTGAATTAAATGACGTCGCGATCGCGCTTAAAGAAGAGTATCTAGAGAGTGAGTGGATGATCTCCGAACAATGGGTGTACTGAATCAAAGAAATTGTTTAGAAATTCATTGGACATGTATCGATCCGAGTCGTGGTGTTGACTACTATGATACAACAGATACTATTGAACAAAGCGAGAAATGCATTGAAAACAGACATCTAATGGGCCGAGTATTTTTCCTAAAAGAAGAAGGGATTAGCAACACTGTAGACCAAAAGACAAGAATGGAGACTCACTCGTAAATATCTTCCTTTTATCTGCATGAAGGGTATCACGAGGAAGAAAAGGCCAACAACAATGCTAGCGTCAAGTCGTCAGTAAGCCTCTGGAGACATTTCGAGGGATACTTACGCCGCCTCACATCCAAACATCTGAATGGCTCCGTGTTTGAGCGCCCATGGGACTTGGAAGTATGCAACACCGAAACCTAGTCACTTTGTTAGCATGGCTAAGCTAAAAACCATTTAGCAGGTCGTCTCACCTCCAAGTACACGAGCGAGGTTGATCAAGGCGCTAATTTCTCCCTGCATACACCTGTCAAAATTTTGACCAGTATCCAAGACGAAGGGTCGCCATACCTGATGCTTAGGGAACGCGTCGTTGCAGTAGGCAATTATAGCGACTGTGGCTATCATGATCGATAATTCCGCGATACCCCATCCCATGACCAACGCGCCTATGCTAAGGTGCTTCTCGAAGGCCGCTCCGAGTGTGAGGAAACCGCATACATAAAGCGGCATGGCGATGTAGCAGGCCCTAGTCGACATTCCAAGACTTAGCATGACGTGCTTAACCGTAAATCGATTGCAAGGAACACACCAGAGCCGACTCTCCGCCTCGAAGACACCCTTGTTCCGCCGCACACTGACATTCATGATGAAGTCGTTGGCGTAGCGGCCAATGACTTCTCCAAGGAATACGGATACAATTGGGGTAGCATAGGACGCAGCAATCGCGTACTGACTGAAAGCATACCCACCCATCTCTACTGGCAAGCCGAGGAAGACGGCGTTGGTGACCTGAAACGACACTTAAATGATTTGAAACGGAGAAGCAGGGTGAGACGTACATTGATACCAATACCGAAACCAAAGAGCGCGGCCTTGCGATACATAAGTAATGGAATAATTGATAAGTGACAACGATGTATCAAGTAACACACCTCGTAGATCAGCAACATCAATAAATGGGGCCTCCATATAAGCTTAAAAGGGCTCAAAACCGATTCCTTCCACGAAATACGGTACTTCTGCATCCTCCATCCGGTAATACCAACGAGTGTCTCAAGCCTAACGCGGAAGCTCGGGTCTTCTGGCTCTGGAATGGGCTGGACAGTCCGGTCGTACAGTCTATCGACAGAAAAGGAAAGTAAGGAATCGAGCGCCACACTTCTTGGCGCGATGGGACACGTACGTTTCCTCCATGCAGAACATGATGAGCAGTACTACAAACACAGAGTATAGGGTTCCGATTCCATAGGACCACCGCCAGTCTGCACGAGCGACGAGGAAACCGAACGCGAATGGAGACAGGAAGGGAGAGACGATGAAGCCCATGGTCCAGATGTTGAGCTGAAAACGGGGGATCATCAGTAAGATCGGGGCGATATTTGAGAGGAGTTGAAATTACCTTCCGCGCTTGGAGGTGGAATGGGTACAAATCCGTGACGACGTAGAGACCCTAGCGAACCACTGAGTTACAACTGTTACAAGCTCAAAGGGGGATAAGGTATCGAAAGCATACTGTAACTTGAGGTGCAGTTCTGCAAATTCCGAAGTAGGCACAAGGGAAATCACTGGTAGATATGTAGCGAGTTCACGTACCCGAAGAAAGCAGTCAAGCACCGCATGGCTATCATCTACTCAGCCTACAAATCCTCGTCGAGTCGATAGCTGAGTGAACCCACCAGCAAACGTCTTCAGGTTCGGTGCAAACGTGCATCCTACCATAAAGGCAAGCGCAAGAACCTAGGAAAAATAGATGAGCAAGCACCTCTTATGCCACGTAGGCAAAGACGCAAAGACGTACTTGTGTCCAGAACAAAATAGGCAATCGACCAAGCCGTCTGATCAGCATGACAGCACAGATGCCCCCAGGACCTATCTCGCTAGATGTCAGAACCTGCAATCGTCTCCTGTAAAATGGGTTTAATACCAAGAAGGAAGATACTCCAGCTGCATAAAGGTGGATCGGGTCAGCATGCTGGCGAATCCACAACGCCATCGAAGCGCGTAGAAGACTCACTTTGAAGTGAGGTTGTTGATCACCCCGGTAGTGGTGTCGTATTCCTCCGCCAGTGCAAAAATAGCGGCGATACCTAACCATTGGGTAAGCACAAGGCGACAAGGATACAGTGGTGACGTTGAACATGAGTTTAAGACTCACCAATACCGGAGTCGAAGTCAGGGACGATAGAGGCAAGTGTCATGATCAAGAGCTGGAAATTCTTGCGCCGATCGCTCCAGTTCTGGGGGTCCTTGTCCGAGTCGGTGGGCTGAGGCCAGAGGACCTTCGTCCCGTCGGACGTGAGCTTCAGGCGGGACGCAATAGCATCGCCTAACTCTATTTTTGCTTCTCTATGGTATGGAAGATTTATTAGTCTGGGCGGTGCATTGTTGCGATTAACTGGACATACTTCGGGTCGATGATGAGGCGACCTGCATGCAGCTCGTGCAGCGCGTAGAGATTGACATCGGACGCGGAGTTGGAAGACGACTCGAGGAGCTCTTGGTCTACCTTCTCGTTTGAGGAACTAGTTGTAGCCGCGCGTTGAGGTTTCTCTGGTGACATGTCGACGACTTGGGCTCGGGGGACTAGTACCAGTGAAGGTCGAAGGGAATATTGCACCTCGTGTTAAATAGCGACGCGTACCACGCCCGGGTCCAGTTATCCCTGGATGCAGGGAACGCTCAAACTGGTCCCATGAAGCTCGTCAGCGAACTGGGTTCGAAGGCCGGAAGTACAGTAGATGCACAGGCGCGTTAACCAACGGTATTCAACTGCGAACGCACCTCGTGAGCAGAAGAAACCTTCCCCGCCTTTGATATCTCCTGTCAGCTGGGCCGTTCCTGGGGGTAACGGTTCAGAAAATGCGGGGTAAACACCTGTTCGTCGCGTAGGATTGGGTGGAAGAAGGGTTTAAGCATCTCGCTGGAAATAGCAAATGCACAGAAATAGCGATCGGGTGTGGGGTATGATTCCCAGCGATTTGATGGCAGGACCTGAGCGCCATTGAGTATATTGGACCCGGGAACAGACAGACCGCCTCTGACTGCGAGAAAATGGAGGACCCGAATTTGATTGGAAGAAATGTTTTTCCCTCCATAGTCACCGAAATCCAGATTAAGGAGACGATTCCTTTAACTTGACTTGTGAGTCGTGCTACGAACATCGGACTGCCGGCCATGGTGACCTGCGTTGGTGTTTGAGCTGTATTAACACTGGATCCAGCACACTCAGCGTGACCGATGGCATCGGTCGCATGGGCGGCTATTCGTTTCTGGCGCTGCACTTCCCACAAAGTCGACAACTGCCAAATGCTCGGGCTTCCTCACGAGGGATTGGACAAATATGGGAGCCCGTGCCCACAGAGCTTTGGTTCAAGGCTGTATAGAGTCGAAGGCCGCCGCGTTGCCCGTTCGTGCACATCATGCAACATGGCAGAACTGAGATTAGGATGTACAGCTCTAGGCAAGGTGCGAGAAGTTAGGAACCGAAACCTGGCCCATCGACCCCACAGGGGCACCAATGGCTCACACATTTATTTGCGGGGAAGTACCGGCAGATAAGACCAGCGCGTACGAGGGGAAGCACCTTTGGATTTTCGTGAAAGGTTGCCCTTAGTGTCGGTGATCTCCCAAGTGGTTCTGTGCACCAGATGAAGGCAACTTTGAAGGTCAACTGAAGAAAACGCTCCAGGTCGCGGGTAGCAGATCCCTATAAATCCTTGGTCCAGCAGCACTACGGTAGGCAAAAGGAGCCTGAATTGCGAAGCCAGCGACTGAGCCTTTGTTGGGTACACCAGCGCCACAAAAGCGACGGCAGGCCCTCATAGATTATTCCGTGTGGGTAGAAGGAAGGCACCGATACGACATCCAAGACTCCGCAAGTCATAGAGCCGAAGAGAGCAGGATTCCTTGAGTGCGTAGTCGATTGGTCTGACTCAGGGTCGGATGTCCCTGAGCATTCCGGGGATCATGCCAAAAACGGATGGACGGCGGAGGGTAGTATGACAGATGGGGCGAGAGGCGCATTGCAGACCCCAGGAAGTCTGTCGGCTGTCAGCTGGGGTATGCTGTGTTTGTTTCTAATCTGGGACGGTGCAATCCCCTAACGGCCCTAACCACGCATGGCACGAGGAGGCGAGCACGTACGTGGACATTGGCGCGGACGGACCAGGCGTGGGCTTCGAAGAGCGTGGAGATACGACGGTCGCAACTCGCGCGCATGAGGTTGTTAGCACTGATTAATCAGTAGTGATCGCCATGTCACGCTTAGCGCTCGGCGGTGGCACAGACATATGTGTGAGGACCATAGCACAACATCTTAACCAAGTCTCAACCGTCTGGCAAGCAAATGTCTGAGTGGAGACCATGCGAGTCCGCCATAGAGTAAACGAGGAATTGCTGAAGAACGAATAAATGCGAGGCGAGGCTAAGTGTGTGATAAACAGAAGAGTAAGATAATATACATACTTGTGGTGAGACGGCGGCGTAAGAGGCACGGACGCCCAAATGGAGCGCGCTCGGCGCCTATTCCAACAGTTCACACTCTACCGTGCATATACATTGAAAATAAAAACCTTTTTCCCACCTTTCCATATGAGTCGCTCATTGAATCAGACCAGAGTGTTCCATGGCGCCGCACGTAGAGTACCCTCAACGTGTCAGACAATCATTTTCTGCATCTACGTGATTCATCATACATTATTGTACCTACAACTGGTGGCTGGAACTAATGTAAAGGAATCCTGGGTACGACTACTGGGCCCGGGCATGATGGGGGCGTAATGTGGGCGGGCGTAGTCCTTCCTTCTCGGAGCAGCAGAACCTCCCTTTTTGTGATTGCGCGGCTAGAAAAAAGCCGCTCTGCTCCTCTGGGTCAACCCGTGCACGTTTAATCTCTTAATAACTGCTAATAACTGCTGCTCATTTACAAGAGCCATTAGACCACAAAATAACCATTCACAGATTTATATTCTATGGGCTGGGGTCAGATTCGAGGAACTACTTATGCTATCCTGTATTCTAGACTTTCCACAAAGGACGACCACATGTGAGGCTTTACGAGATTGCGTGCTCGGAGAGGAAGTAAAGACCGGGCTCGTCGGATTGCTCGACGAGGATCAATTCACCCTTTTGCTCCAACAATCTTCTCGATGAGCTCGTTATGATTCTCGATCGCGCCGAAGTGCACGGGCTCCAATTAAGCGCTCGTCGTCATATTTGGACTGAAGTACACAACTCCGTCGATACCTGCCTTCTTCTACTTTATAAGCATATTGATCTTACTGATTTATATTATTTTAGCTTATTCAAAGTAAAAGCTAGTTCGCGCAGTGTACCCTAGGGCACGAGTTAGACGAAATCCTAGAGGACATTGCAAAGTTCCCATGTCTCCCCCTTTCCTCGTTCCACACAGGAACATATTACTCCTTAGACGGAACTTATACTTTGGAACCTAGTAGTACATTTCTTGGACCTTATGTAGCTATCCACGCCCCGACCTACACAAGCCGTGGACGTCAGAATCTGAAACGGCGGCCCGTGTCGCCGGCTGCCGCTCTCGCGCAGCGTCGTTACACAATAATTATTTGAGTATTACTCCAGACTTAGAGTGTAGGGGGTGTTTTGGGTCCTCCCGACGCCCACCTCGTACGGTCTTGATCCGCTGGGTACGGGAGCGCGCTAGGGGTCGGATTTGGCCATTTCGGGCAGTCCCGCCAGCTGTCAGTCATCGGGATCTGACCCTGAGTCAGACCAATCGACTCATCACTGGGATTCCTTCTTTGATATCTTCAAGCCCCAAAGTTTTCGGGAGAGATGCACCGTTAGCCCAGCTTCGACTTAGTAGGGGACAGGAATTTTTGAAAAAGAGATCGACAGAACTAGTCTTAACCTTACGAAAAGTTGCCCTAGGCTTGCAGGCATAGGACGAGGCAGAGTTCGTATCGATCGACTTGAACGGCGAAGTCAAGTCATTGGAAAGAAAACGTGCAGGCCAGACCGCGCCGGTAACAACCGGAAGGCTGGACACGCAACAAGACCAAACACTGAACTCAACGTTGTTCACGACGACAACCACCCTTCTCGCGTCGACCTCGTTGCAGACGCTGTCCAGCTTACCTCCTTTTGAGTAGTGAGTCTATCGTTGATTTATTCCGCTTCTTTTCAACTATTAGAAAGGAGACAGAATAGATCCAAACGCCAACGAACGATGCTCCCGCACGACATCTGCTCCAAACTCCAAAACGCCTTCCGCGCACGACACGCCCGCGTCTCGCTCCCACACAACACCCAAACCCTCGGCATCCTCTCCATTCTCCTGCGCTCCGGGTTCGTCTCCTCTCTCACCCGGGGCACGATCGCGGGGCCTTCCCCCGACGAGTTCACCACTGCCAAGCCCTCAGAACAACGTATATGGGCAATGCTTAAGTACAGGGACGACCAGCCTGTCTTGCAGACAATGGAGCTCATTAGTCGGCCGAGTAGGAGGGTGTTCATGGAGCTGTCGGATATCCGGCTGATTTGCTCAGGGAGACGGAGTGGGCAGGTGAAGCCGCTGGGTATGGGTGAAGTCGCGATGGTGAGGACGAAGGATAAGGAACATGAGTGGTTGGAGGCGAGGGAGGCGCTGTTGTTGAAGATTCCTGGGGAGGCGGTTTGTAGGGCACGGTAGGGGTGCTGGAGTTTTTCGGTCCATACTACGTAGTGCGTGATTTTTCTTCTTTTCCTTTCTTGACGCGTTTCGACTGGCTGATCGCTTCCTGTACGGATAGATACCTATTTAACATCTTAATGCAACGTCTATGCGTTCTAGCTGCTCTGTCCTCAAGGTTTCTCTGCAATATTTCCAACTGCCAACGAAAACCAGCACCCTCTTCAACTAAGGAATCAGTCTTCCAAGATGTCCTCAATAAAGGATCTGCATTTCAGTCTGAATGTTCGCACTACAGGAGCGAACCTCGTCTAGCCTTCACGTCTGCGATGCGAAGGGGAGATGCCGCGCTTCGTTAGGTTTTCGAGCTGCAGCATTTACGCTGGTGCGTGCTTCACTTTCCATTCTTGCATCGAAGATAGATGCATATATACGACCCCTCTGTAAGGACTACGATAGCATCTTCTCTCTCCTAACCGTTTGGTCTTCAACGCTTCAGCCTTGAACACAACAAATTTTGCAAATGTCACAACGAAATACAAGCAGGAAAGGAAGCTACCTCTATATATGGCTCATGGCATTAACGATACATCATAAATCTAAAGCATTGACGTGAAATCGTGTGTTCGTGTCCGTAATGCTCGAGTCAGCGTCATTAGCGCCGGCGTTCGTCGTCAACAGTCCGTCCGCTGTCCCAAAGCCGTCCTCTTTCATGTTCATGATCCTCACACCCTCCTATCACTCTCCTCGTCTCTCCCCTTCCTCCCCTCCTGCACCTCTTCCTCCCTCACCCTCTTCCTCACCTTATCCACTTCCTTATTCCAATCCGTACGCACAGAAACCCACGTTCCGACCGCCGAGCAGTACACGAGCGACACTGTGAGTCCGATCCACAGGCCATGCAGACCCATCTTGTGCGTGAAGGCGAGGTAGATCCCGAGCGGGATGCCGAAGGTGTAGTACGCGCTGAGGATAGGAGGATTTAGTTAATTGGGAGCGAGGAGGAATGGAATGAGGTGGACAGACCTTAGGTTGAGGAGGGCGCCGAAGAACTGGGGTGGAAGAAAGGGCGTTAGCTCTTCGTTCACAAAACAGGAAAAGACCGGCAGGCGGGCCGGTGTATGATCGCGCCTCGATGCCTCGACATCTCGACCATTGAGCGACGAAAATCGTCCAACAAACCGCGCAGAAACCAGTAAAATCTAAGTCAAACTCACCTGCTTCCCCCTCGCCCTCAAAATTCCACCCGTTACAGCCGATGTCCCGTCAAACACCTGGAAGAGCGCCAGGAGCGGCATGATATCCGCCACCAGCGTAACAACCGCTAGAAGAAAAGATCAACCTCACGCGTAAATTCCAAGAATACAAAAACACCAGAACAACTAGAAGGGAGACGCACCAGGGTCGTCGTTAAAGAGGTACGCCCACTTGTCGCGGAAGACGAGGAAGAGCGTGCTGTTGTGGTGTCGGTCAGTTCCCTGCACATATTGTAAGCCAGGAAACGGAAGGCTACATACCTCGTAAAGAACGCAATTCCAAACGCCATCACCAGCGAGGTGTTAGCTGCCACACCTGCACGTCTCGCCTTTTGCTCGCCGAGGAGGTTGCCGATACTGTCGGTCATGAATGAGCACAAGAAGGGAAAATATCCAGTGTCGGGAAACCGAATCAGTCTTTGCAAAATCCAAAAAAAGGGGAATTCGTATAGACGCACCGCACCGAAGTAGCCACGCCCAGCGCAAACGGCGCCTGGAACGTCGTCGACGACGACACGAGCAGCACGCTCTGCGTCGCGAGTGCAACCGGACCTAACCTAAATACCCGTTGTCACAGGTCACCATCGAGAACAGCATCCAAGTGTTCTTTCCCTCGTCAAAGAGAAAAAGACACCCAAAAGACAAAAAGACAAACTCACAAGCTAGCAGCAAGCGCAACCAACTCCCACGCCCACCACTCGCTCGCTGTCTGACCCACCCCACTCAGCCCGAGCTGGGTGAGCACGCTCAGCGCCTTCAAGCTGAATATTTTCTTGAGGGAGTCTCGGGTGAGCGAGATGGGCGACCAGGCGGTGGGTGGGGTGTAGAGCACCCCGTACGCGATGGATAGAAGCGCGATGAGGTTGAACGAAATCGCGGTGGCGATAGGAGCGCCGATGAAGCCGAGCCTTATGGATGGGGGGCCCCATACTAGAGGATGGTGAGTGCTCGTCGTTCATGGGGAAGGGGGAGGGTGGAAGGAGACATACCGAGCAGGTAGTTGAGGAGCGCGTTAGTCGGCGCGACGATAAATACGATACGCGTCGGAACGGCAAAGAGACCTATTGGGATGAGTTGTGTCAGTTGGGCTGCACTGGCTGTTCGAGGTTTGCTCGTCGCATCAACAGGTAGTCAACCCCACAATGCGGGGAGACTAGGTTACTAATTAGCCCCTTCCTAAGTGATAGGATTGAGAAGCTCCCGGGGATCACAACTCCCACCAGCTAATACAGCAGAACTATGGAGGCACCTCAAAAAGGATATTCACCTTGAGACTGGAAATAGCGCCTGTACACAATCGATGTCGATGGCAATGTCGATGCAACGTTCCGGATCGTTATCCGAATTGAAGCAGGATGACATTGACGTCGGTTTTAGTGGTCGTGTGATGAGTCGAATCAATCAGGACGGGGAGGTGCAATGGAGATAGTGATTTTGGGCGTTAGTTTACGGCTCTTGTCGAGAAGAGAAAAGGGGCGGCGTACCGGCTGATGCAGTTGAAGGCGTAAGCTGGGGAGTGAGGTGAAAGGTTAGTTAGAGTTCACAGAAGGATCCGAGGCGAAGTCGAAGCAGTGTGGAGATGAACGGGACAAATGATGACCGAGCAGCTGAGTTAGCTTCGATGGGGAACGCGCTTGCTAGATTGAAAGCTAAAACCGTCGACCACCAACTAACGGTCTTTACGCGCACACGTGGGATAGAAAAAAGAAAAGAGCGGAGACTCACCAGGCAGCCCGAATGAGACCCATCTCAAGTAGATTGACGCAAGGTGGGCGACTTCCGGTTCTTGCTTGAGGAAAACAAGGATAGCCTCTGCGTTCCACCAAATGAAGAGGGTCGGCTGCCGGAGGGAGGTCATGTGTGGTGAGACGTTGAGTAAGAGGAAGCAGGGTTGCAAGAAGCGAGTACGTACGATTAGACAAGAGAACATCACTATGGCTATTCGATTGGGGTCAGCGTTCCAGAAAGAAAAGACAGATGAGAGAAGGTGACTCGACTCACTCATCCTTTGGGACCAAAGCCCCACGAGATGTGGCTGGGGCGATGTCCACGCCGATGGCAGCATAGTGTCGAGAGCGCTCGCAAAGCCCTGGATAACGCTGAAGCCGGAAACGCTCGCGGTCATCGAACCGAGCGAGATGGCCGCAAGAGCGGTCGTGGAAATATGCCCAATGGAGACGACGGAGACGATAACAAGTGAGTATTCGAGAAGGTGGGTGCTGTGGGGTTCGCAGAACATCGCGTAGTGGGGTCAGCCTAATAGTACGCTGTGAGGTAGGGATATCGTACGCACCCAAACACAGGCAATGCATACTTCGCCAGGATGACCAGCTCCTCCCAGAACATCTCCAGCGGTGTCCCAGCGTCCGCGGTAGCATCGCGATCGATGGGCTCCTCAATTCGTGGGACAGGTGGATTACTGAGCAGCGGAGTGTTCTCGTCCGGCAGTCCAAGGGAGGGAAAACTCTGGTCATTGGAGGCCGAGTTCCCATTGCCCGAGCCTGGCTCAGCATCGTCGTACCGCCTTTCACGGGGGTACGAGCCTATAGTGGGCCGCGGCGGACGGGTGTAGTACGCAGAGGCGGGGAAGCTCTCGCGCCGGGTAACGACCGTTCTGCGAGGGGTCTGCGTCGGAGTTGGCTCGGTGTCCTCGTCCTCGTCCTCGTCGCCGGAGGCAGGGGCGGCACCGTTCTCGGGAACACGCCTCGGGTGTGGGGCGCTGTGGTCTCGGTGGGCAAAGTGGGAGAGGAGAGCGTAGTCGGACGGAAGCGACGACGGGCCTTGGTAGTGCGCGTATGTCGACGACATTGCGCGGAACCTTGAGCTTGAGGATGGAGACAAGAGAAGGAAAGAGAGATAGCTTAAATTTAAATTTACACCCCTGAAGGCGTCACGTGCATTCTGACTCCAAAGAATGATCTTCCGGGCCGTCAACGCCGCGGATGCGCACCAGATCTACTGTCCTAGCGAATCAGACCGAATCGGACTCGAAGGGTGGGTAAGAGAGCTAGAAGGCCCCCACAAATAAGATCTATGGAATACGGTCTCCCATTTGTCGCCGCCACCTGAGCATTTGCTCGATTAGACGAAAGTGTCAAGACTCAAAATCGAAACCTACACCTAGAGCTAATCAAAAGGAACGTTCAACGTTTGCTGTCTGTTCCGAACTTTCGAACTGCCGTTACCATGATAGCTTGACGAAACTGGAGACGCATCTGGGATCAAAAGAGGGGGAATGAACGCAATCACAGATGCGGAGGGGTGACCGGTATCGATATCGAATCGATCTGGGCCAATGGACGATGATGGGAGGGAAGAAAGAGGGAGAAGCGGGAGAATTTCAATATGAGTAGCCTCAGATTTATATGAATGAAGGTTACGTAGAGCTCTCCCAAAGAACGCGTCGCGCACGGGCCCACGACGCGCCGAACAAGGGGTGACGTCATTTATACTTCTCTTGGTCCTCGACTTCACCGACCCCAACAAAATACCCCACTGGCAGGATACAGGCCCGCGCTCATGCGCATCTGTATCTTGTCTGACATAGAAGTTCACTAGTAACATAGTTTTGTAGGTGGATATGATGACTGGCCTGACCGCAAATACAAACGCTCACCACTGGCCTCGAACGGGACGCACTGAGCTGATTTCTATGATTAACTTCGGGAGCCTCAGGAGCACGGTCGGAACGCCATCCTGATGTAGAACCATACCTTATAGAACTTTATTTGTGGCTTGTAGGCGTACCTTACACTCAGTTCTAACGCCCGCGCATGAAACTCGGCTCATTCAAGCTTCCTTTTCGGGTCGGGCGCCTACGCTACATTCTTAGCGCTAGCCTTTACATGGCAAATTTCAAGTTGCTTTTTTTCTTCGAGGAGAAGCTTTAAGAGCCATACCCCCATGTCTGAAAGCTGGATGAAAGCGCCCAGGACTAACTCCGCGAAGACGGTTGGTTTTTGGCGTATATTTATTACTTTTCAGTGCCCTACCTGTTCACCTTCAACACTCATATTATTAGCGTGCCACTTATATATCACCCATTCGTAACTGTAAAGCGTCCTATGAATTAAATTCTATTCTGCGGTCGAAATACAACTGCAGTCTAGTTGTGTATATGCATTTTTGCTCCGAGCCAAGGCGAAGGCGAGAATAAATTTCGTCAATGATGCACCAGAGACCTCTGCAAATTAAACCTTTCTCCAGACCTGCGACCAGGCTCGGGGTTGCTAAATAATTATCTACCACCACCCAACCCAACCCCCAAACCCAATCCTCGACCTCAATCGGTGACCATTGTTCTATCCTCTATAACCACCTATATACCCTCTCCTCCCTCGCCCTTTCAAACAAACTCAACCCCCACGCCCACCTGCACCCCTCTCCGTCCCCTCTCTCCCTCGCTCAGCGCAAGCGGCATCCCGAAGTTGACCTCTACCCTAACGGGATCGAGCCGGTAGACGAGCCCTAACCCGGCGGAGAGCGCGGGCTGGGCGAGGCGGGTGAGAGTGGGAGGTTGCGTGGAGGGTTGGTTGGCTGTGGGAGGTTTAGTTGAAGTTAGCTTCGTGCAAGAGTAGAGAGCGGAAAGAGAAAAAAGGAGCGGCGAAGAGTGGTAGGCGCCCAAGAAGAGCGGACGTCGGCTGTCGTCCTTTTCGGTTTCGGAATCGCGAGAGGGGGTGGAGGAATAGAGATGGCGAAAAAGGAGGAAAGAAAAGAAAGGGCGAAGGAAGTAGAATCGAAAGGGAGAGAAAGACGTACATTGATCAAGCACGTCCAACCGCCCCGCGTTCGCCCACAGATGCGTCTTCACTGGCCAGTGCGGTTTGCCTGGAATATTTCCAGTGACGCTTGCGCCTGCCGCGTAGTATACGGTGCCACCTAGGGAGTCGTCTAGAGTGGAAAGGCGAGGGTCGTCAGCTCCGTCCGTCTCCGATGAGAAGTCGAATAAAAAGATCAAATAAAGTAGAATAAAGGAGGATGAGATAGAATGGAGAAGAAAAGTGCAGAAAGAAAAGCACGAAACGCACCACCATCCCTTGGGCCCATCCCGTTCGCCACGAACCCCCTTACACTCGTGGGTCCTCCAAGCTGGAACCTGTCCGAAAACAAGGTCTTTTCCTTCCCATTCCCTCCCTCTTCCCCTCTTAGACTCCATAGCACGCCCGATCGCCAGGAGAGCGAGAGTGCCAGGGACTTCCACCAGCTTTGCCCACCCTCCGCACCGTCACCTCCATGCGAAGTGCCCACACCAGCTAGGGACGCCACCCGCCGCGACACCTGCCCCTCCACCTCCAGCTTCACGTGCTGCGCGTCCCCGCCCAGCCACCCCCCTCTGCCTGCTAGTTCACTGGTGGTCTTGAGGAAGAATCCGCGCGTGCCTGCGAGCCGGTCGTCCCGGGTGTCGTGTACGAAGGTGTGGGACACCGCGGATTTGAGGGAGGGGCCGGCGGCATGGCGCATGCTGGAGGTTATGAGAAGGGGGTGAGTAGTTGAGAGGTCAGCAGGATGGGGGAAGAGGGGGGGAAGAGGGGAAAGGGCAGACATACCTGAGCGAGGCACTCGGCGCGAGGTTAGCAATGTGCCGCGAGACAAAGTCGTATGCGAGTTCGTGGGTCCCGTGCGGGGTTGTATGCTACTTGCATGTAAGTGACGGTGATGATAAGAAAGGAATGGGAAAAAAAGACAAACGTACCTTCAACGAAGCCCTCGCACCCCTCAACCCCTCCATACAGCTTGCATATGAAGTCAAGTCCCTCTCCATGCCATACACCCCCACCTCGCCTACTGTGCCCAGTCTGCCGCCCAGCACCACCGGCGCCGACAGCGTCGCCCGAAATGCCCTGCGTGTCTTCGTCCCCATCGACACGTTCGCCTCGAAGGTCTCCGCGCCGCCAAACACATTCCTTACCCTCGCGACCGCGCTGGCCGTGCCCTCCGCGTTGCCTATCTCGGTGGACGAGGAGAGGAAGTACTTCCCGCGTTCTCTGGCCTTGATCAGAAGGTCGACTTCGGGGATTGGGGAGGGGGAAGAGGGGGAAAGAGAGGAGGTGGGAGAGGTAGGAGGCACGAGGGTGCATGTGAGAGAGGAGAAGAGGCCTGTGGATTGGAGGGTGGAGGAAAGGGAGCGGGTAGTGTGCAGGACGGATTTTAGGGTCGGAGGCGACGAGGAGGAGGAGAGGGCGGGGTCGATGAGCGACGAAAGGAAGGACGCGCGCGTCCCCGTCGCGCCCTCCACGCGCACCGCCGAGATCCTCAGCGGCGCGTCCAGATTCCCATTAATCTTTACCAATTCGTTAGAAAAATCACAACGAAGAAACGGAGCAAAGCACATACGACTTCCGAAAGGTGGGTCACCGCAGATTCGTACTCGCCCTTCAGCTTCCTTGCACGCCGTTCATCTTGCCACTTCAGTAGCTTTTCGAAGCCAACGGGCTCCTTGTCGCGCGGAGAGGAGGTGTTGTGCAGCGGAGGACGCAGCGAGGGTGCGGACACCCTGTCGCTCCCGTCGTCGAACATCGGATGCAGGAAAAAGTTGAGGGCCTCGGCGACCTCGGCGTTGTCCGTTGTCTCCGAGGTCACGTGACTATATCTCTCACACGTGTAAACTAAATTAAAAATTAAAAATATTTTATATAAATATGACGGGCGCTTATTTGATTGCTCTGGCTCGGCCAAGGAATACATATATACATGCCGAATGCACATATCACTGAACAAAAATATCACTGCCGAAAACGAAATCATACAGGTACATGTAGCCAACAAGAATTCGGAATCACTGGTTCGCACTTGAAGCTTGACGCCCAAAATAGTGTAACGCGGGATGAAAGTCACGAACTAGCCTTCGCTTCGATATATAAAACCTAGAGAAAGGTGCAACTAGACGACTGAAGGAATGGATCTGGGATGACATAAGAAGACTAAAAGTAGGAGGGTGGCATTCGAGGTGTCGTCTGAGTTTGTAAATCAGACACAGTCTAACAATGGAACAACCGTGACGTACTTGAGTTTGAATACTTGATTACTTATCAATGTAAACTTTGGGAAGCCGTTTCACTGAGGTTTTCGTCCACGGAAAAATACGCACGGAGATTGTAATGAACTGTCAATCCTTGGCTGATCTCGGAGCGGAGCAAGGAGTGAAATTGTGCCTTGCAGGGGGGTGCCGGTCTGAGATGGACCGTTCGTAGCCTAGCAAAGGGGCCTGACGAGACGCCTTGCGAGGGTTGGGACTTGTCGCCGGAAATTCCATAGTTCCAACGTGTTTTGATCATATCTGCAATGATTTCTGGGTACATTATGGGAGCCTCTGTGGAATAGATAAGCTTCTGCAAGTTGGGGAGGATAGCCTTGCTGGTCCGGCCGCGATTGCTACTGAATTTGCTTGTATGCGCTGGGTTTAGCATTTCGGGAATGATTCTCGTCCACGCTTTATAGTCGCTCGCTCGGCAGGACTGGAGGTGAAGAGTGGTGACAGAATCGACGGCCGGAGTGGATAGGATATCAAAGAGGCTGGTGATATCAATTGGGGTACCTGTCTTCAGACATAATTTTACCAGTTGAGGTTTTGAACGTTTTATGAAATCGGCGAGAGAAGAGAGGTTTGCGTCACTCAGGACGTTCAGAGTGTGCAAGGAAGGCGCGTCGAGGAAAGGCAGCAGCAAGGCAGCCTTGCCGCCTACCACCGTTAAGACTGTAAGTCGAGGAAGTGTGCAAGTATGGATGGGGAGAGACGCCAAAAGTTCCATGAAGGACTTCATGCTTACCCAGACGATGTCATCCTCCAAGTCAGGGATGTCCATCTCAAGATGCAGCTGGTGATCGTGGGTTGTGGACACCGTGAGTTCATTTATTAGATCACCGTCCCATCTCACGACACCCCACAAGTTGGTGACCCACTGACCATTCAGTCGGCCGCCCGAGAACAATTCGGGCAAACCCAGAATCGTGAGCAGGCTGTGGGGACGGAGGTGGCGAACAGAAAGTTTTTGGAGCAAGGGCGTTCGTCCTCGTACCTGGCCCAATACTCGCGAAAGAAGTGACTTGAGATAACCAACGAAAAGTCTTCGATTTTCAGAAAACCAAAGCTCGAGTGCTTTCCAGCGCATGGAATGCGCAAATATGAGGCTGAACAATGCATCGGGCGCTGGGTTGACCCCTTCCCACCACCGTACGCCACGTTCGAAGCGGATACACAAGGAAATTGGTCGATTTTTGGACAGTGTCAGCAAGTCCCTCAGGACTGATATTTGTCCATTTATTCTCATGGACAGCTTGATGGTTGTCCATAACACTGGTGAATCCCGCGCGATTGCCCTCCATTTCCGACAAACACTGATGAGAACGAGCGCCGGGACGGCGCGGCCGCATCCAGGGTGCTTGCATTTGCCGAAAATATGGCGACATGGCGTGCAGTATGCCGAGAAGACTTGTATGAGGATCTCGGGAGGGAGAGGGATGCTGGGCTTCTTGGTGCTCTGCAGGAATAGAGTCGCGTCTCTCCTGAAAATCGCCCTCGGCCTCCATTCATTGCTGACGTCCTTGAGCATGTCTGCGACCTTCTGCACGTACTCCATCATCTCCCGTCGCGGTGGTGGCGGCACACCTTTCTTTGTCCAGAACCTGATGTCGAGGCGAACCCGATCTGGTCCCTGCAGCTCTTCCTTCGCCTCCTGGATCTTGCGCTCCAAATCCGCATCATGCGTTGACCAATTCAATCTCATTCTCTTTGTGACGATATAGTTAAGGTCGGCGGCTTCCAGGGGCTCGCTCATGGCCGTCCCTCGAACGTTCGCGGTCCGCACGGGTAAGCGGACAACAAGTGCTGACCGTGACATCCAGCGATTTATGTAGGTGCGTTCGTTATGAATCGTTTCGGGCGTCTCCACAAGCTCTGCGTGAGGTGAGGAAGGCGATATTTCGGAGTGAAGAGGGCTATGGCGATGAAGGTAGAACGTAAGATAGGCCAAGGGAAAATAAGCGCCCAAGCTGTTATCGATATCGGATATCGAACGTTGATCTATGATGTCGGTGACGCAGGTGTTCCCGGCCCGCGTGCATCTGCCTAATGGTATCTGACCCTAGATATAGTCTGGACGGGGTGCTCCCAAGGAGATTGAGAGACGGCGCTGGGTAAGTTGCTGTTGCCCCATACGGTAGTCATTGGTCCTCTCCCGGGACACTAAATATGCGCTAGGTGATGTTCGCCGACGGGGGATCGATGACCAGCACCACCATTGAAAGCCCGAGGTGCAGTGCACCGTCAAGGATATCGAGGTTCGTGCACTCGAAGTGCGAATGCCGAACGTTCGCTAGCTGGGCCCGCGCAAGTTTAAGCCGGGAGCCCGCCAGCAAGGTCGTGGTCGGCGTGAATATCATAAGAAGCGCACGCCCGCCCTGTGCGTCCTGCACGGTTCGTGTAGCCGCCCGGACCGCCAGTATGCAAGCGACGGATCGTAGCGGGGCGAGAGAAGGGCGGGGATGCGCCTAACGAAGTGGGAATATAAATAGAATCAACAATCCAGTGCCATTCGTGAGTGGTTCTTGCTTCTCCACGAAGACCACATGCCCCTTTGTCGAGCGGGGTGCACCGAACGAGGTGCCAGTGAATCGCATGGGACGGTGATGCGATTCGTTTCAAAATCATGGATGAATCCACCTTTAATGGAGGGTTTTACTTCTGTGTTGTCACTCAAAAGTAGACACCATCACCAGTCCCATAAAGCATGTGGGCCCACATCCATTCCCATTCCCATCGTCCTTCTCCACTCACCGTCATATGCCCCAACACAAGATATTCCTGGCTTCTTCAGAACGCCCGCTCCATCCTGGACCATGAAGTTCGAATTCTAAAGAAAGACCCGTGGTGCGAGGATAATTAGGCGGTTATACGTTCCTCGCGCTTACACCCGCCTGCGAAGCTACCCAAGCCTTTCGTTGAACAAGGTCTCCAAAAGCCCGGCCCGCTATAAAAGGCATGGCAATGGTATAAAATCTCGGAGGTTCGGCGCATTATATTCTGTGATGGTGAACGCAATGTGGAACCTCAACGTCGGACGCGTAATTCTCGCTCTTCTCACGACGGCGACAGCCGCGGCCGCGGTGACGGTGACGGTCAGCGCTACTGCGAGCCATGCTATCCCTACTACATTGTGTGAGTGCTCCTTCGGCTTGGGCGGGTGGATATTTGGCTGAGGATCGGTGGGATGTAGGGGGTCAAATGTACGAAGATATCAGTGTGAGTTTTGTTCCTCTTGGGAGTTCGTCAGCGCCTAACGCCTCTTTAGTTTGTACGTAACAGCATATCAGCTCCTGGCGCTTACTGATTATCCATACGCTGGATAGAGTGGAGATGGAGGGTTGTACGCTGAACGTGAGTACTCAATCCGGGCTTCCCCTTCAGGCTTCCCCTTGAGGACTCCTGCTTACCATAAAAACTGTAATAAATAGTCCTCCGTAACCGCGCCTTCCAGAGGGTTACTCCAGGTACTCCCTGAAGTTGTCGCTGCACGGAAGTCAACCATATTGAGCAAGCACCGCGTTGTTCATAGGAACCGTCGCCTCCCTCGTCGGCTGGCAAGCAGTTAATGGCGCCTCCATTGCCGTCGTCGCCGAATCCGAACCCGTCTCAAATGCCTTACCCAACGCGCTCCGTCTCACGGTCCCAGCTGGAAGTACTGCGCAGGTGGGGGTGGCGAACACAGGGTATTTCGGTGCGTGTCGTCCTACCTCCCCTTCTTCTCTATCAATTTAAGCGCCCGTGCCCGGCCTTACCCCATGATATCTCCCAACTCCAGGCATCAAAGTGACCGCAGACACGACATACAAAGCTTCCTTCCACTACCGCTTCCCCTCGTCCACCTCTTCGGGCTCGCTCAGCGCGACACTCTCCCTCCAGTCCACTGCTGGCCGCGTCTTCGGCTCCACCTCTGTCTCCCTCTCTCGTTCCACCTCCTGGGCGCGCGTGGCAGCGGATCTCACCGCCACGGAGAGCGCGGGAGACACGAGTAATTTGTTCGTGATCAGTGTAGATGGCGCGGAGGCGGCTGGGGAGACGGTCAGTCTGGCGATGCTCTCGCTGTTCCCGCCGACGTTTAGGGGAAGGGAGAATGGACTGAGGATTGATTTGGCTGAGGTACGTCGATGTCCGCGGTTGTGGTTGCAAAGGAATTACTTACACAGCACGATGGTGTTTCGGATCACATAGGCGCTGGAAGAGATGGGCCCTGCATTCTTCCGCTTCCCTGGGGGCAACAACCTCGAGGGCCAGACGGTCGACAGACGGTGGCAGTGGAATGCGACGGTGCGTCTGAGTCTTTTTACCATTCTCATGCATTTGGGATCTGATAGAAACTTTTTTCTGTATACTTAGGTTGGACCTTTGGTAGACAGGCCTGGCCGTCAGGGAGACTGGAGCTACATTAACACCGAGTGCGCGCCTTCCCTTCCCTTCACGCGTCATTAAATTAATGCGATGAAAATCAAAGCGGCCTCGGTCTCCTCGAATATCTCGAATGGTGCGAGGACCTGAACATGATTCCGATCATGGGAATCTGGGCAGGTGCGCTAGTCTCCGACCCCTCTTTGCCAAAGCCCTCCTAAGAGCAGGCGTGGGTGAACAAAAGGATACGCCCTGGGCGGAACGAGTGTCCCACAGAGCCAACTTGGGCCGTACATTCAGCAAGCGGCGGACCAGATCAACTTCGTTATTGGGGACCCGGCGACGAGCGAGGCTGGTGGGTCGCCCTTCTACTTTCCTTGAAGACATGGTGCTGATATTGTGGTGATAGCTGCGCTGAGAGCGAGGCTAGGCAGGCCTGAGCCGTTCGCGCTCGAGTATGTCGAAGTTGGGAATGAGGTATGTTTGTTATGGCCCAAAAAGCTTTTCGAGCTACACGGCTAATCGATCACGATGACACAGGACTTCATCGGCTCCGCCCCCGGCACGTACGCATCCTCATATCCTCTTTAAACCCGCCCGTCCGGCCAACCCGTTTATTTCAGGTACACATACCGCTGGCGCGACATTGTGACAGCACTACAGGCTCAATTTCCTGACATCCGTGCGTCATACAATCCTTCAAGCGGTGTTCGTTCTGCTGATTCCACCGACATGACACATTGATAGACTTCATCGCCAGCACCATCCCCTGGAACCCCGTCCTCACTCCCGTCCCAACGCATTACGACGTGCACGTTTACCAGACACCCAGTAAGTCTTATTCTGAGCTACGACATTCATCCGACCCTCCTGACGTGAATCGTGATGATGCGAATGAATAGCCTGGTTTGCCCAGAACTCTTTCTTCTACGACGACTTCCAGGTCAGCCTCCCTCTCTCCCCACTTTGCCCCTGCTGATGTGTACGTATGTGCGCCTGACAGCGTAACGGGACGCTCTACTTCGAGGTAAATATACTAACATGCCCATCTCTGTCCCAATCTCGATCACTGCGCCACAAATGACTGATCGGTGCAATGACTTTCCTGATAGGGCGAATATGCAGCGATCTCGACCAACCCGAACAACATCTTCGGGTCGCCTGCGCAAGGGCGGCTGGTCTACCCGACTATGCAGAGTAAGCGCGAATTGCTTCCCGTGATGGTTTATTAATAATGGGTGTGGATCTTGTCTAGGTGCTGCTGGCGAGGCTGCTTTCATGACTGGGTTGGAAAGGAACAGTGATATCGTGTAGGTGAAGATTATTCACCAGGAAGGGCGGTGAGCTGATTCTTGACAGATAGGTTCGCTGCGGCGTATGCCCCTCTTATTGGCGTGAGTACCATTCGCCGTTTCGTTCAAATAAATAGAACCGGACTGATCATGATGTTCTCCCTACTAGCATGCGACGAATAACCAGTGGGTTCGTATTTGCACGCTGCTGAATAAAGATAAAATTATTGCTTAAGCAAATTTTAGACACCGAATCTCCTCGCCTTCGAGTACGGCCTCAGGGTATTTCTCAGGATGAACTTGACCTCACATTGACAATCATTTAGCGCCGGCCAAGTCTACAAATCGACGAGTTTCTACGTTCAAAAGGTAATTTGTCATTTTTCATGGCGCAGCGATTCCTATCCTCATGCCTCTCTCAAGTTCTTCAGTCATAACCGCGGTGATGAATACATCCCCAGCACCCTGCCTGCAAGGACCGGGACCCTCTACTGGAGTGTCGTCCGAAAAACCTCAACCAGCGAAATCATCATCAAGGTGCCCAATACTCTTTCGTCCATCCTTTCATCTGCACAGCCTAACTCCATCAATAAAGGTGATTAACACAGCTGCAACCGTCGCCCCGGTGACCTTCGAGCTGCCCTTCGCCAACGTCGCCTCGACCGGAACCGCTGAGGTCCTGACGGGAGGCGGCACGACGAGCAACACGCCGAGCAGCCCGAATGCCATCGTCCCCGTCACGAGCACGATCGCAACTGGGCAGACGTTCGACTATAACGCTCCGCCTGTTAGTGTTAGCGTTCTCACTTTCGTTGCGCCGTGACCCGGTGAGTTCGGGCTGTGGAATAGGTGAACAAAAGGCTACGGCGTAATTCGTGAATGCAGGAAAAATGTACAATTTGTTTGGACATTTGAATTTTGAGCTTTACATTTTAAAGCATCCGTTAAGGCATTGAAGTTGGATAGAGTACACACACATACACTCGGGCGATGAACACTTCTAGTTGTTCCCCAACCTTCTCCCCTGCCCCCAACTATGTCCCGTCTCCCCTCCTCCCCTTCCTTCCCCCGCCCTCACCCTCGGCGCCGTAACATGAATCCCACTCCTCGCCAACCCCTCCGCCGCCCCACACGCGCTCTCGGGCCCGTCTCCCCCATCAACCTCCTCAGCCACTCCGGTGCGCGCGCCCTCTGGGCCAACACCCCCTGCGAGCCCAAGCCCCCACCCCAGACGCCCCACCACCACCCGTGGCCGACGATCGCGCCCGCGACGGACAGCGCGGCGGCCTGCGGTCCCGCGAGGAGGAGATCGAACCCGATGAGGACGTATGGGTAATACGCGATGGGGATGGTGAGCAGGCCCATGATTGAGGTGGTGGTTCCCGGGGGGGCGAGGGCGGCGTAGAGGTAGACGAGGTTGACGAGGAAGGCGCGGGTGAAGATGACGGGGCGGAGTGGCCAGGTGATGCCCTGTAAGCGTGAGGCGCGTGAGGGGGTGGTTGGGATAGAAGAGGGCTACGTACGACAATGGCGGCGGAGGACCAGAGAAGCTGCCAGGCGAGGTCGGACGAGCGGTGCGCGTACGACCGGGACTCGAGGTCGTTCGCTGTCTGGCTATGCAGCAAGGCGGCTTCGTTAGAAAGTACTACTCTGCGCTCGTGCACAGAACACTCACTATAGCATGACCAGTTCAAAGATATACTGCAAACCCCCACCTGCCAAACAACTCCGCGTCAGCACCCATCACCCTCACCTCTTCCAAATACCACAAAAAGCATGCTTACTCCCAAGGAAGAACGACGAGTACAGCCTCCAAAGCTACATACACCCAACGCCCACCCAACATCAGCATCAACACCACACACAAACCCAACTCGATGAGAAACACGCACCTGCAGTTTCCTGCTGAACACCAGCTCCGGGCTGAAGAGCACATGATACGGGTTCACGAACTTGAGGATCGCCCCGACGGTCACTGCCAGCGAGGATCCGACGAGGACGCGGGTGACGGGTGGGATTTTGCGGATCTCGTCCATGGTTTTTGAAAGGGTGTTTGTTAGGCGGGAGGTTCGGAGGTTTGGGAGGAGGATGCGTAAGCTTAAGCAGAGGATGGTGGATGGTATGACTATGCAAGTGGCGTGCGGAAAGTTATAGGCGCATGAGTTGGAGGTAGAGGAGAGGTTTGAGCTTAACTTGAAGTACATCGGAGACCACGTTCGACATGACGTGTTTCAATTTGATCGGGCCGAGCGTATAAGTTGATTAGATTAGATTAGATCCTGGCGTTCTACTTTCCTTCTTCGAGGTACACCGTAGGGGGTTGATTGTGCAAGGGTAATTTACGGGATTCACTCTCCGGTATACAAGGTACGAGACTATACTGACCCAAGGACAAGAAGGTCGGTTGACAGAAGGGTGTATTGATGTATTTGAGCACTCGGATAGTAAAGACGGGTTCCGTTCTAGTTTCGGCAAAACGGTTGCTCGAAATAGGAATCGTTTTCAAACTCATGGGCGGAACCCTGTGGTCGTAATACAGTGTTTTCAGTTCCTTTCCCAGTCAAATACGAGCGTGAAGCCAGTCTATGGTGTTCCAAGATAGTACCCTATGTAATAATGCATACGGACGAGCGATTCGATGCAATGTGAATGGCACAGAACCTAGTCATCTCCCACTGCCGGACCTGCTTAGGCGCCCTCGTGACCTCGTACTTCCACTCATCAGGCCCAGGGTATGGCGACTCCGAAAACAATAGGGTCAGTCGGTACTTGTCCTTATGTGCCTTTGGCGCATCGGTGTATCGTTCTTCGTGCCATTGGGTGATGAACTCTCCCGTTTTGAGCGTCAGAGTCAAGGTGCGTTTCTGAAACGCACTGTCAAAAAGCACGCCGTCGTTCATCATCGTCGAGAGCTCTCTCGTCACTTCGAGGAGGCGGGGTATGTGCGCCTTTGTGATCCTGAATTCGATGGGGATCTCGGCGACGACGATTGTTTCGCTTGGTGCTGCTGGTGAGAGAAAGGCGCGTGGTGCAGGCTCGACCAGCGCTGCTTGCTGGACCTTCTCCTCTGCTTGTGAGGGGTTCACGTAGCTCCATTCTATGGATGCAGAAATCCAAATACGAAAGTCAGCTTTCGACACTATCTGAAAAGGACATCGTGAGGTCTTCCATTGGCGCGAGAAATCTCAGAGCATACCTCTCCCGTCCCGTCTTCATGAAAAGTGATCTGATGCTCTTCCATCGTGTCCCACCACCATGTTCGACAGAGCGCCTGGTGAATTGTGGCGGTCATTGGGAAAGAGTCAAGGTCGGAAATGATGGCACTGATTCTCTGTTGGTGCAAAAGCTGTGTCGGTGCTCCGCCAAATCTAGAAGGACCCACAGACCGCTGCTGATGTTTCCATACAGAAGCACTGCATTTCGCATGTAGTGGACCTTTCATGATGGAAGAGCCCACAAATGTGAGTAAATGAGTTCCTTCCTATGTAGTCGAAGACTATGGAACTTGGTTACGATCCAACATATGTCGCGCCCATCACTGTCGCACAACACGCACACAAGCCGCCTGTCACGGATATTCTCTCCCAACGCAATTGGACGGCCTCCGCTATGCACAACGGTACCTCTAAGCAGGTGCTAAGGAAAGATGTAACTCGTGAGGACGCCTCGCGTTCGCTGCATGGTTCGGTACCCACCGAGGCACCCACCAAGGCGCCCACTGTAGAAGGAGATCAAATAAAAACACCAATGAAAGTCCCAATTTCTCACTCCGTTCGCCTGGTGCATTCTCATTAGGGTCTTGTGGCTGGTCCCAAGTTCCTCTACTTCATTTCACGTCGCGACCCTCAGTCACGCAATGTTGCTGCTGTCCCTTCCTATCTTTCTTACGCTGCTGGCGACTCTTCTCAATAGATCCGTCACTTCATCCCCAATCCACCGTAATCAAACGGGAGACTTAGATACCTCCGAGCTGAATCGGCGCGGTGTTAGCGATCGTCTGCTCATCGGATATCGTCATGTGCCCAAGGTATTTACTCCACTTCTCTTCTCTGGAGCGGTTCTCACGACCCTTCCGTGTTTTCAGGTAGACGTGGACAAATACATCACAGAAGGCAACACTATAAAAGGGGTTCATGGCAATGGGTATCAGATAGGGAGTGGAGCTTACGTGGCAGGTGGGACTCACGATTGGATACCCGGGGAGTATATGTGCCTCGTTTGGGTGGACCGAACAAAGTGGGCGAAATTGAGAAAAATCTGGATCCCTAAATACGATCACACCAAGTCGGACGAGGTATCTGTAGAGCTATGGGACAATCGCGCTCTCATGGACGACTACATCCGACGTACGCTCCCAGGCGCCGACCCAGCACAGACAATTCGGTTCGGACGGATAATGGGCCCTGGGGATATGATTGAGAAGACCCAGCTTGTTATCCCCCCGGCAGTTCAAGGAAGTGTGCTTGGCATCCACGTTCAATGCTCCGAGTCGGCAAAAATCAAGGATGGTGCCCTTACAAAGATCAATTATCGCGACAGGGAATTGATTCAGAAGTGGCAGATACATGGTATATCGCCCGACCTGGAGCAATTTACGAAGAAAGGTGACAGCAGATCTCCCTCACCTTCGAAATCCAGGTCGCGCTCCAGATCGCGTTCTTCTAAATACCCTATTCGCCGAAAGTCTGGTAGCGGTAAACGACCTGTTCGTCACTAGTAATTTGTTATACACATCGTGATTCTGCCTATGCATGCTCCCAATATTTGGGTTTATTATTAGAATTTTCTGGATGAATACGCCCCTTAGTCGCGGACTTTGGATGGAAGAGGAGGAAGTCGTGAAATTGTGACCACCGTAAAGCGTAATGTTGATACCAGATCGGGTAATTCTTATTTCTAACGGCACTGCCGGCCGTTTCCACTGAATGCAAACACCATGGCCCTGGCGGGCACCCCTGGTCACTAGCGCAATTTCTTTCACTTCATTAAACAGACTTGCAGGCAGCACTAGGTGTTATGTTAAGGATGCCTTCATATTTGGAAGCTTTTTTGAACATCCACTGAAATGCACTTTGGGTATAGCATTCGGTTCAAGGAAAAGAAATTAGAATTCAGGGACAAGACATGGCTCCGCTTTCCCTGCACCATAGACAGCTTTGCTAAAATCTGCTAGGATAGGTACCGGGGGCATTCCGAGAACTTTTTGATAACAATTTCGAACAAACGTAGATAGACCTGTGAGATATTATCCCGTCCCACCACTGGTAGGTCTTACTCTCTTCACCTACTCCACGTAGTCATCAGTAACTCTGCATTTCAGATTCTGCGGGTTTCTCAACCTAAAAATCACGCAAAAACGGGCAAAAACAGCGGAAACCGGGGATCCTGGCAACTTAGGTCCCTTTTCCAGGAAACCTGTCGTCGCCGAGATCGCACTAAAACTAGACTCTCACGCTAAAAGGCTACACTAATCCTTACCGGCGGCTCGGCAACCCAGAAACTCGGAATCTGAAATGCAGACTTTGTGTACTGCTTTCGGTACGATCTTCGGAGACTGCCGACTGAGTCCAAAGGTGGGTGATGGCTACGCACAGTCTAGGTCACGATAAGTCCGTAAAGCGGCAGTACGTCGGCAGACTGGCGATCAGCGCGACCAGCTGTCCCTGTCACGGCGTGGGAAGGAAGCAAGCCCCTCCCCGTTGTGAGACGATAACCCCCCTCAACACCAGTTGGATCGGGGTCCAAATGACGCTAGCTATAATATATGTCATGGAATCCTCGGTTGTCGAATTGGGAGTGACAAAAGACAAAGAGTGAAAAACTAGGTGTACACCTTTTGGCCTAGTGGTTCAATCGCGCTGATAGCTGCTTTATCGTGTGAAATCCCACAAAGTCAATGCTCTAAGTCATCGGTTCAATTCCTGAGACCTACAATTTTACCGGTGTTCAGCGTTTGGACCATGCCGGTATACCTACTACTACTACTACTACTACTACTGATGCTACCCGTACTCGTCGTCCAACACATCATTGTTATCTCTTTCATTGCTCCCTACGTCTTTGTCACTCTCTATATCTTTGCCATCATTACGGTCCTCATTACTGCCCTCCTCTTCATCATAGCTGTCGCTGCCTTCATTTTCAAGAAATATCCCAACATCCAGAAGGCGAACAAGAACATGGATCTGCTCCAAGCCTTGCAACGAAACACTGAGAGTAGTAAGACTCAGAACGAGGCTGCTAGCCAGGCTTACTGGCAAGACCGAAAAGACCCATCACACGTAAGCTTGTGAAGGGCTCGCGGTTCAACAAAGCAAGAATCGGAAAGCGCACCTCCAACACCAAACACAACACCAAGCCTCGACCAGATCTCGCGAGGATCCTTCGTGAGCTGCGTGAACTCATCACGGGGGTAAGTGCGACCGACGTGGCCCCGGAGAAGAATCCAAATAGAAGCACAAAGACCACAACCCCTGGCATTCCTCCGCCAGATGACACCACCGGCGCCATGCAGACCACCACGATTCCCATCGCGAGTGAAAGGATGACGGTGAGTGTGGGGTCGGATCGTGCGTTCAAAGTGTTATGAAAAACAAAAGGTCACAAAGGGTCCAGAGCCAGAACGCGAAGCTATTGAATGAAGCCTACAATGAAGATAGCCTACCCAAGGGAACTATATTGGACGAGAAACCTGGAGAACATGTGAACCCTTCAAGAACTCCGCACGGTCAGACAAGTCGTATTATTTAAGCTGGCCCAGCACGCCCAGGCGGGTTCAACGCGGGGGGTGCTTCAGCCTCCTCGAGGCCATGGCCAGCATCGCACTAGTAGAGCTGGGGCGGCGTTGTCGTAGTGCCAATTGTCTGCTGTTATGGATGGATGTCCACGAAGGGCGCAGGACGCAAGGTGGCGCAATGTGGTGCGACCAACAATATCGCTGTGAGCTAGCGCATCTGAGAGCTGACAGTGAGCGAGAGGCAGCGGCCGAGGGTTCGCAGCGTACTTACTGGGCTTGCTAAGTCTCTCCTTGTGCACTGCCCTCCTTCCCACAGCGAGTAGGGAGCACGACTGTGTATGGATGGTACTGTCTTTGAGGCGGGCTGGGCGGCGTGGTAGCAGCGAAGGCAAGGCGAGGCAAGGCGAGGCAGCACAGGCGAAGGCGAGAGGATCGAGTGAGGCTTTCGGTGACGGAGAGACGGACCGAGCGTGGTGTGACAAGGGAGTCCAACCGGGCATGGAGAATGCTACGATTCTTACGAGCGATCCAGGGTATAGAAACGATTTTACTACCATAGTAGGACTCGTAACTCGTTTCCCAACCATAGCTCAGGACGTTAACGAGAGAACCCGAGGTATGTACATAAATAACACACAGCGCTTGAGCTTGGGCGCTAACATCTCTCGGTGAGCAGTTGTGAGCCAAGTTGAATGCAGATGCTATTAATAGATACTTCGGTCTGCGGGACTCCTGACAGAGGAACGGTTATATCTAATTTGCAGATCGTGCGCCGTATAGAGGGTAGAGGGTAGAGGTAGGGATAGAGGTAGGGATAGAGGTGTATACTATCGGCTGCAGTATGTACACTGACCGTCAAACGATTGGTTATAGATCCCCAATGAGAGAATGGGGACAGGGAAAGGGGAAGGGGAAGGGGAGGGAAAGGGGAGGGAAAGGGAAGATGGGGATGGGAAGGAAAACCGTGGACGTCGTGAACGTCGTGAGTCCGCGAATGGATAGTTGGGTGTTGGGAGTGGGGGTGTAATTAAGGGAAAGGGGGGTAGGATCAAGCAGCGCGGGGGTGTTATCTCGGATTCGGATTCGTTCGAAGATCGAGGAATGGAAGGGAAGTAGGGATGAGGAGATCGTCACGGGAAATAGATGGGCGAGGAACTCGAAAGCAGGATAATGGGATAGCAATGCAATACGTCGTGTGCGATGGGCGATGGGAGAATATGGGATATGGGATCATGAGAAGGATGGATGGGGTGATGCTCTACAAGTACAATTGCGGATAAATGAATAGTATAGAACTCTGAATAGCCAGAAAACGTCGAGAAAACGGGGTATGTCCGTGTGGGAGCGGAATAGAGTATTATGTGGATAAAGTAGACGTATCGGGTTATCGTGAGATGCAGAGGGGGTTTCGGAGGGATATCGCCGAGCGGAGCTTCCTATAGCCTCCTATGGCGACATTCGCGGTCTCTTAGAACTCACGCTTGAGATTAGGATGTGTCCAGAACCGCGCGAAGGACCACCTGGAGACCTTTATTCAGCCTTTATTCAGCCTTGCGTGAGGCCAGGTGACTGCATTCAGGCGTGAGGGAAGGTCACTGGAGCTCGAGTCGATAGGGTGATACGAGCCAAGACCGGAGGAGATAGTAGTGATAGGCTTCTTCGAAGGATCGAAGATCGAAGCGAAGCGTGAAGGTCGGGAGTCGGGAGTCGGGACCCGGCGTCTAGATTTTTGGTCGGTAGATGGTGGACCAAGGGCCTGGTGCCGAAAGAGGACGGGAGGAGAAGAAGCGTGTTGGCTGCTGAGGATGTCGGGGATCGACGACGGGTAGAAGCAAGGGATGGCCGGCTATCGTTGGCGCGTTCGCTGGGCCGGCGCATATCGCGTGCGCCCCCCTCCCACACCCACCCCACTCAACCGCCTCATCCGTTCCATAACACCCCGCGCCAAGAACACCGTCTCGTTCTCCTCCTCGTACTTGGTCAGTCTCTCATCGATGGGCTCGACGATGGCGATGTCGGCGGGGTGCAGGGTGCGGGCGCCGGCGAAGCGGAAGATGGAGATGAACTCGTGCCGGAAGAGCTTGATGTCGAGGGGGGTGAGGGCGGAGACGGGGGTGGATGAGGATACTGGGGGAAGAGGGGGGGTTAGATTGGTGTGGGAGGAGGGGGGAAGGAGGGAGGGAAGGGGACGAACCTTGCACGAGACAAAGCTCGCCCTTGACACGCGCGAACGCGAAGGTGTACCCGCCGGCAGGCTCGCGTTTACCAGACGCGGATGCTGTTCCAGTTCCGATGGACGGCTGCGCGTGCGGGACCGAGGGCGTTTGGTGCGGGGGAGGGCAAGGGACAGGGGCAGGGGACGCGTAGATGGGGATGGAAGACATGGCGGCTGCGAGGGAGAGCGGCTGCTGGGGTTGCTGCAGGACCTGGGCGGACGCCATAGAGTACCGGCCGTGGAGTTGAGTGGGCAGATCTCTGGACTGTTGAGTCGAGTGGGGTGTCGGCGTGAAGGCTGCGGTGCGAGACAAGAGGCGTAGCGCGTTGAGGCGATAGTATGAGCGCGTGAGAGACAGGTCCGAGGGTAGGCAAAAAGAAAGTGCACTTGGACCAGAGCGTGAGCGTCACCACAGGCGCCTTTATACTCCAATGACATGCTCGGTCCACGAGGGGCTATGACAAAGCGCCAGCGTAGCTATAGGAGGAGCCCTCAGCGTCACAGATTCGAAATGAGATTCCGTACGTGCGAGGCACGCACTTTCCCTCTTGTCCTCTTGCCCTCTTGCCCTCTTGCCCTGGCTGGCTGGCTGGCTGGCTTCCATGCCTAACCCAATCAGTATTCGTCCTGGTGTTCGTCTTCGCGAGAGGGTTCCATTCCGGCGTTAGCCAGGACGAGCTGGGTTTGGAAGTCGGGAAGAAGGGAGGCTGGGGGGTCTGTGGACGATTACGGCACTTGCACATCGGTCGGACGACGCGATTGTGGCAGGGCTTCGGCTTTCCCACCCTCGGCCTCGCTAGCGCTAACTGGGCGGTCTTTCTTCCGAGTCCCTCCCCGAGTCCGTACCTTCCTCCATTCAGAGGGACTCGACTCTCCTGCATAAACTATTCCATACATATTCCATGAGCATCTGGCTTCCTCTTCCTTCGCGCACGCAGCATACCGCCCCCGAGGAATGCTATGAGGTCTGGACGAGCTGCCTGTCAAGTCAACGCGCAGTCCAGAGCGCGCACGCGAGAGCGATTCCGAAGAGGGTGGCCGGTGGCAATTGCAATTGGTGGTATCTTTAGCGCACGCAGGCTGGTGCTGGGTCCAGGCGCGCGACCAGTAAGTAAGTAAGCGCTAGGAAAGCCTCCGCCTTCGGATTCGACGTCTATTTCCCGCTTGTTTCCAGCTCCCTATGAATTCGACGAACAAAAGACCCCGCCGGCGGCTTGAACCGTACCTACTCCCGGTCTCGGGATTTGCTCTTCGAATTCCTCACTCCAGCGGCCAACCTCATTCGGCCGTGGCGTTTCATGCAACTTCGAATGACCAAGTAACGTACACGCCGAAGAAAGCAAGGTTTCCGAGACTCCTCCTCCCCCTCGGAACCAGGTCCGCCCGCCCACCCTGCACATGGTGTGCAGTGAAATCGTGCAACGCAAGTTAACGAAGACTGGTGCGACTGGGGACTCTGACTGGCGTTGTAAAATCCCGAAGGTCTCTCTGGTTACAACATGTCGTTAAGTATGGCGACCTGTTCCTGTTCCTGTCTTTGTGCGTTGTGCGTTGTGCGTGCTAGCCTCGAGGATGTGCTATCACCTTGGACTATCAACATTTCAATTATCCAGCCGTTATCCGCCCATTATCTGTCGTGATTTCATGAAACACCAGCAGCTTTCAGCGGTCAAACGTCCACTCTCCTCCCCTTGTATTTTGGACAGCAGGCTTCTCGTAAATCAACGCCAATATCGATGATCACCGAAACACCCAAAAAACAGCCTTCTATCCATGGGCGTGATCATCACTGGCGGGCAGGTATCGTGTTTCTTTCATCTTTCATCGACATCTTCCACCTCCTGCGCATTACTTACGTTGCCTCTACCCCTCCCTCTGACCCTCCCTCTACCCCTCCTCTACCTCTTGA